TATAGTATATGAGTATCATGTATGAAATTCAACATATTTATGGGATCTTGTATTCCAAACGCAACAATAATGCTCACCTACCTTAAAATAATCATCTAAAACATAATTTATGCATCTCCCGTACTTATTGATCATTAAAGCGTCAATGAAATTGGTACAATTCAATTCATCAAAAAATATGGTACGCTTTGTTCATCAAGTAAGTACAATGAATGCACATGTGAAGTACAAGTGATTCGTGACTATAGTACGCTTTGTTCACTGATAAAGTATATGTTTGTCATTCATATAGTATTGTTACACTCTATATATTATTTCCGGGCCAATGCATCCATATGATCGCATTTTAAGACACAACTCTTCAGTTTAAGACTATTAAGAATGAATGGAGACAGTGTGGGAGTTGATCAATATCGATTATGGTAACAATTGAGGAAAATATTAGTTTTATACTTGAGCATTATAGACTTGTATGAATATATTGTATAGTATATGAGTATCATGTATGAAATTCAACATATTTATGGGATCTTGTATTCCAAACGCAACAATAATGCTCACCTACCTTAAAATAATCATCTAAAACATAATTTATGCATCTCCCGTACTTATTGATCATTAAAGCGTCAATGAAATTGGTACAATTCAATTCATCAAAAAATATGGTACGCTTTGTTCATCAAGTAAGTACAATGAATACACATGTGAAGTACAAGTGATTCGTGACTATAGTACGCTTTGTTCACTGATAAAGTATATGTTTGCCATTCATATAGTATTGTTACACTCTATATATTATTGTTGGGCCAATGCATCCATATGATCGCATTTTAAGACACAACTCTTCAGTTTAAGACTATTAAGAATGAATAGGAACAATGTGGGAGTCGATCAACATCGATTATGGTAAGTTTTTCGTGAATACACATGTGAAGTACGCTTTGTTCATCAAGTAAGTACAAGTCTAGTGTTGACAAAGTATCTTCGAATAGACTAGAAAGTATTTGTTGCTCATTTTTATGGTACGCTTATATTCTTTATACAAACTAATTAATCGCAAAATAAAGTACCATGTGTTCAAAAGGTAAGTACATTTCATCGAAACATATAGTACAATGTATACAATGGAAAAGTACGAGTAGAGCTAATCAATAGTATTATTAGCTCTACAACAAAAGGACACATTGTTTATGGCACAAAAAACACATTCATCTATTTGAAAAGCGATCGGTGAGCACCTGCAGCCTATTGATAGCTTACTGCAATCTTCTTTTACATCAATTCCTGCAATTACATACACATAAAACTACAATTATAACAAATACAACGTACTATAAAGTTCAACTACTAGTACTTCCAGTAATTTCGTTCAATACCATCCAAATGCACTAGCAATACCATTGTTGCATATGACACATACTACACTACAATCAAACATTATACTATTCGAATGCACTAGCAATATCACTCAACAGCACTAGCAATACTATTGTGGCATATGACTTATACTACAGAACCACCAAACATTATACTTCAAGTACCCTGTGTCAATACCATCTAAATGCACTATTAATACCATTACTGCGCATGACACATACTATAGAACCAGTACGAAAAATACAATAAGCCTCTTTCCCATATCATAAGAATAATACCCAAGAGAAAACTATTACAAAATCATTAAATTCGACAACAAATAAATGATCTTTGCAAACCCAAACAACAGAACAACAGATATTGGAACCGATTTAATGATTAGGGGAAACACCGAATAAAGTCGAGGCATAATACCCATGAGTGGATATGTTCAAAATCATGCAATTCTATAACAAATTAACCTTTTGCAAGCTCAAGCAACACCCAAATGGGTCTGTTTCCAATAAAATGAAAAAAAAAAAAAAAATCAAACCTTGTTGTTTACCATGCTTCACCATTGTCTATAAATGGGTTTGTTTATTTTTATTTTTCCTTTCGCTTTATTATTTTTCTGCGTTTTGTTGATTCTTCGTGCTTCGTAATTTCTTCGTTCTTTGTTGTTTCTTTGTTCTTCGTTTCTTTGTTCTTCGTTTCTTCTCTGTTTCTTCTTGGTCTGAAAATGGGTATAAACTGGCAAAGAGCGTGTAATACAAACGGCGCGTTGGAAGTTGAAAAGAAGTTATGTAAAATTAATATAAAGTAAAGGGTATTTTAGTATTTGCACATTTTATTAGGGACTGATCTGCATGTTAGGCGCGTGAGTAGGGACTGAATTGCTTGGGGAAACTACCTAGGGACTGATCTGTGTTTTGAGTTTTGGATTAGGGATTTATCTGTAGTTTCCCCCCAAAACTTTTATTTTCTTACATAAACTCCCATAAATTTATTTAATTCTCTATTGATGAGAGGCTTTATGGTGGTCAAGTTTTTATACTATATAAAGGGGACTTTTGTAGCATTGTAAAAGGAGAGTAGAGAGTACAAGAGAAGATGAAAAGAAATATTTTTCTAATATATTAGATACATATACTTTGAGCTTTTGTTGTGTGTCGGGTGTAAGCTTCTGCTTCACTTGAACGTGCAATTTCGGTGAAGTTACAGCGGAGAGATAGGCTGGGCTGTTGTATCCCATAGGCGACACGATCGGAACCTTTTTGCACCTCATTAGAGAAGGGGTCGTGAAATTCGTCTTAAGAAAGCGACCTAGTCCGCGCCTCACCTTGCCTATCTCCATATTATCGTGGTTTTTTTTGCAGCAACTTGTTACCTATAAAATTAGAGAACAAATGGAGTCCAAGCCTCATCCACAAGTTTCGTGATCAATCGTCAAAGTGCAGCCGTGGTTCCAACAGTTATATTTAAGGTTTCATTTGTTCTAATTATAACATAATTTTATTCGATTTCACTTTCCAAAAACATAGTTGAATGCATTATATATAAGACAAAGAGTCTGAGTTCTCCATCTGATAAGTTATTTTAAGAGTTGATAAACTGAGATGCCTTGCTTTTAGAATTCATTTTTAAAGTATTTATTTTAAATAATGAGATTATAAGTTATTTTTTCTGATTATAAAATCTTAAATAAAAAGGTGGTTTAAATATATTTAAAAAACAAAAAAAAAAATCTTAAATGCTTTTCATCAACTTATTTTTAAAATTTTTAAGATTTATTTATACCAAACACTATAAAAGAGCTTATAAACTCTTTTAAATAGCTTATAAGCTCAAGGCATACACCCTCTTTAAGGTGGTGTTTGCAAGTGATTATTTAAAAGCATACGTTAATGATTGTGATTTAAGTTAGTTTTAAGTGCTTATTTTCAAAAGTTGGGGGTGTTTGCAAATATTCCAGAAAATGAACTTAAATAGGAAAAGCATGGTTATGGGTGTTTTTAAAAAAATAGCTTAAAGCGGATTATTTTAAGAGAAACAAAAGCAAAAGTTGATTTTGCAAACACCTGAAAACAGATTATGAGCAAAAAAAACCGCATAATCACTTTCAAAAAGTATTTGCAAACACCACCTAAGTATATCGTGTCTATTAGCATCAATTAATTTTAGAATGATCATTTGTGCATTGTCACTATTTTTTTCTTTTTAAAAAAATAAAATTAATTTAATAAAAAAAGCTATTATGAGTATGTCATGTTTGGAATAAAATCAGGCTTTGAAGAACAATGCAGTGATAAGAAGAAAAGCTTTTTTGTCGACTTTTGTTAAAATTATTTAATTTATTTGATGAAACTTTTCTGAAAAAAATGCTGCAACTCAAGTGGGAAGAATCGAATCTTGTATGATGATGGTGTGTTATCAATAATCTATATAAGAAATAAGAATCTTCTTGATAGGATTCCCATTTTATTTATTTATTTATTTATTTATTTAGAGGAAAGTGAAATAAATTTAAATATTTATAGTGACAAAGTTCAATACTTTGAAAGAAGTAAATGAATAATTTCAATTCGTGTTGTCTCATGGGCCTTATAACCGGCCCGAGTACTTGGTATGGGCTTGGGTTTGTCAACAAGAAATGGATTTATAATTTATTTATTAATCCTCGGGAGAAAATTACATTTTTCACCCATCATGTTTCACCTAATTGCAGTTTTGGCCACTCATTGTTTTTAAAGTGAACAAACCATACCTTAAAAGTTCAATTTCAAAACACATTTGGTCCCCCCGTCACATGCTCGATCGCATCTCATATAAAATACTATTTCGAGGCTAAAATTAGAGTTTAAATTTTTTTTACGACTAGAAAATAATTAGAAATTTAAAGTACTATTTATAATTATTTTTTAATAATATTCAGTATAATAATAATAATAATAAAAAAAAGAAACTCCAATTTATCTTTTTTATAATTGTTGCAAATAACGAAATATATAGCCCCAAAATAGTGTTTTCCATTAGATGTAAACGGACACGTGACGGAGGGGAGAGCAAATGTGCTTAGATTTGAACTTTTGATGTATATTTTATTTACTTTTAAATAATGGGGACCAAAAGTGGAATCAGATGAAACATGAGGGACTAAAAGTGTAATTCTTCCTAAAGATATAAAACATTCATTGTGAACTTGTGAAAGTGACAATGAACTTTCAAAATTTGCTATATTAATGAATTATGACAACCAGAAACTGAAGTAGCTTAAAAATCGGTAGCGAATTTTTAACTATAGTTAGTGAACTTCGACGGTAAACTTACAGCTCAGGGCACCCTCGGGCCTCGACGGTAAAACAAACGAGCAGAAAAGCTTTTATTGCAACCAAAATTCCGATACCATTATTGCTAATGAAATTACATAATCTTTTTTTAATTATTATTATTATTTTTTTAATAACTAATTGACATATATATATGTATTAAAAGTAAAGGATCTTGGCATTTTCCAAAAGTGAAAGCACCAATTCAGATACCCTTCTTGTATTTTTCTAATCTCTCATATCCACCAATCAGAAGAAAGCATATTGGTCTCCAATTTTTGTATTTATTTTATATATTTATAAAATTTTGTAAATTACTAAAAAAGCCAGGCAGACATCTGGACGTTTCCCTTGAAAACTAGCCAGATTTAAAAATTTACAAATCAAATTTTTCAATTTTCTTGGTAATGAATGCTCCTCCGATTCTTCTGGTGGTAGTAGTACAGCTCCACCAATAAACAGAGAGCACACCCGAAGAAAATGTCCGCCATTTCTATCAGGCCCATTATCGCTACACCATTTACAGCTTCTCAATCAAGAAAGCTTCACAAAAAGACTACACTTTTCGCCCAAAGATTGGATTTTTGGAGCGAATTCAGTTGTAATAAATCTGTTTCTTGGGCCCACAGTAGAAGAAATCAAAATAGAATGAAGGGTTTTAAGTGGGTTCGCGCAACTACGAGTGATGAGGGGGTTCGAGCTTTTGAGCAAGAAGCTTCCATGGAGGAATCGTTGACTTTTGAAGCTGCTGGGATTGAAGCTACTCTCAATAATTTGGTTGGTTAAATTTTAGTTTTTACTTTGTTAAATTTCTATGCTCTATATAGATATATGTATATGTATTGCTTTACTGTAAAAGAAATATAGTGTCAAATGATTTATTTGTAGTAAAAGAAATATGAACACTTCAAAACAATAGAACAATAGAAGAATCATACTATAAAAAGGGGATCTTGAAATTAATTTACTCGAACTTGATTTGGTGTTCGGCTTGATTAAAGCTCGTTCGAGCTCAACTCCGATGTTAACCATATCAAGTTCAAATTATGCGAAAAATCATGCGTAGTGCCTTGACTTTATTCGTTTACAAGTGGAAGTTCTCTCGATACACCGTTTTATTGCTTTTCTGAAGCTTGTTATGATTTTCATTGGTTTACTATTATTATTACGATTGAATCAGAGTAAATGGCTAGTAGCTGCACTTTTTGGTTTGATAATTGTATGGAGGCACGATGCCGAAGCGTTATGGGCTGCAACGGGTTCCGTTATAAATACTGTAGTATCAATTGGACTTAAAAGAATATTAAATCAAGAAAGGCCCTTTTCTACATCAAGATCGGATCCAGGAATGCCTTCGTCTCATGCCCAATCCATTTTTTACACACTAACGTTTCTCAATCTCTCGAGTAAGTCTTTTCTAAAACCATTTAGATATATCTATATGTATATTCGTATGTCGTTGTGGATTGATATTTGTTTATGCGAGCTATATGTACTTCTTTGCTATGCAGTGGTGGAGTCATTCGGTGTGAATGTAATTACAGCCACCATAGGCGGACTTTTCTTCATACTCGCCTCTTATCTCGTAAGTATTCACCGGCTATATTGGAACTTTTTTCATACTTTGTTCTATTAGTAACAGACATTAAAAAAAAAATCGAATTATGCAGGCATGGCTTAGGGTTTCTCAGCAATTTCATACAGTTAGTCAGATTGTAGTGGGAGCTGCTCTAGGATCGGTGATCTCGGGTTTTTGGTTCTGGTTATGGTATACTTTTGTACTAAATTTGTTTATAACATCATTGTGGGTTCGAATTATTGTTGTTTTGGGTGGAGTTGGATTTTGTTTGGCGTTTATTCACCATGTTTACAGGACATGGATTATCGAGGAAAGATGACTGCCGGTTTAGTGTTTTTTTGTTTTTTTTTTTATTGGTAGGAATTATATTCCTTGAATCTTTGATTAACAGGATCTTGATTTCATTAAGATTAGTATTATGAATGAAATTCATGATGATTCCTAGTTCAGCTGTGAATTTTGTTTATTCAGCCTTCCGGTGGTTGTACTCTGTTTTCTCTCATTCGGAAGCTCGTTTCGGTGCTCGAAATTTTTATCAGGCTAATGAAAAACTGATCCTAGTGTATTTCTTCTTTTACAAGACAATGCAAAAGTAGCCTATTGTATCCCACTTATTACAATATCACAAGGTAATATTTAAGAAACACCAAAGTGTCTCTAAAATTGGATATGCAAACATTAGCAGAGCCAATATTTTATCCCAAAAAGCCAAATAAGCACATAAAAAAAAAAAAAAAAATTACCGCGTTTTTTTCAGAAACGGTTGGGGGCCACGGCCGCTCGTTTTTCATCATATGGCTAATCTACGCGTATCTACAATCGTCGTTTTACCCTTGTGCAACATGCAGGATCGAAGCAAGGTCTTGAAAAACGAGTTCTTCTTTGGAAGCAATCAGCTCCAAAAGACTGTATATTTCCTCACACTGTGGATGAGACTTATCACCAGAAACAAAAGCAGAAACCTTTTCCTTAATCTTTATCCAAGACCAACCAGGCTCCTTAATAACCCCTCTCGATTTCATCAGCTTTCTCACGTCCGCAGCTTCTCTCCATTTCCCACTCGAAGCATAAATATTCGCCAGCGCAATGTGGGTCCCGGCGCAATCTGGATCCAGTCGAAGGATTTGCTCCGCCGCAACTCTTCCACACTCAACGTTACCTTGTTCCCTACTCGCCCTTAATAGAGTTGACCAAACAACATCGTCTCTTTCAAAAGGCATTGTTCTTATCATATTCTCGGCTTCACTTAATTTTCCGGCCCTACATAAAAGATCAATCATGCAACCGTAATGTTCTTTACAAGGGTTTATTTTGTAGTCTTTAGTCATCGATTCAAAATAGTGAAAGCCAAGATCAAGAAGTCCAACATGGCTACAAGCACTGAGAACACCGATGAATGTAATAGAATCAGGCCTTAAGCCCACGTGGAGAATTTTCTCGAATAAATTAATTGCTTCTTGACTGTCTCCATGCTCAGCATATCCGTTAATCATGGCTGTCCAAGAAACTATATCATCATCTTCCGATGCAGAGAATATTTTTTCCGCCTCTTTTATACTCCCGCATTTCGCGTACATATTTATCAAAGAGCTTCTCACAAGAGCCGTTTGATCTAACCCAATGGTCAAAGCATAAGCATGAATTTGTCTACCTTGATCAAGAACCGCCATACTACCGGAAACACTTAGCACACTCGAAAGAGCAAATTCAGTTGGTTTTGTTCCCTCTTTCCTCATCCATGATAGAAGCTCGAAAGCCTCCTCTCCACAACCCTCTTGAGAATAGCCTGCAATAATTGTGCTCCAAGAAATGACGTCTCTTTTGGTCATTTCACGAAAAATTAGTGAAGCCGAATTAGAAAGTCCACATTTTGAGTACATTGTCATGAGGGAATTTGATACGGATAATGAACCCGTGAGACCTAATCGCGAAACGTGAGCGTGCATTTGCTGACCCCAATCGAGTCTTGCCATATTTGCAATGCCCGAAATGACTGCTGCACAGGTGTACTCGTTAGGACATATATCGCACTCCCTCATTCGTTTAAAAGAATCGATCCCCAGTTTTTCTTGGCCTGTCTGAACATAGGTTGTTATTATAGATGTCCAGGAAACCACATCCGGTTTGCTCATGTTTTGAAACATACGCGAACCGTATATTAATTTGCCGCACTTATTGTACATTGCGGCAAGACTGTTAGCTACATATGAGGTCGTATCTACACCCTTCTTCATTGTCCGAGCGTGAATTTCCCTTCCGTAATTTAGAAGCTCTAAATCAGCACACGCTTTCAATGCAATGGCGAATGTATACGAGTCATAATCGACATTTTCCCTCCACATATTAGCAAAATAAAACAACCCTTGTGAGTTAAAACCTGCACGAACAAGCCCTGTGATAATGGCAGTCCAAGACACTACATTCCTCAACGGCATATCATCAAAGACTCTACAACCCTCGAAAACTCTACCGTTCTTCATGTACATATCAAGAACTGCACTCCCGACAAAGACGGAGTTCAAAAGACCGGTTTTCACGGAATAGCCATGCAATGTTTGGCCACAGTTGACATCTACGTTTAGCCCACAAGCCTTTAGAGCAAGGCTGAGTATGAAGGGGTCCATTCGGATACTTGGGAGGACCCACATTTTGGAAAATAAAGACAATGCTTCGGATGAATCAGAGGCATTGACATAGCCCGAGATCATCGTAGTCCAAGAGATTTCATCTCTGTGAGGCAATGCGTCGAACATGTGGCGGGCACTTTTCAAGTCGCCAGATTTTGTTAGATTCCTGAGCTCTGAGTTGAGTTCCAGCATGTTGATTTGCATGGGTTCGTGTTGTTTCTGCGTCGTGGAATCTTTGTGTTCCTCCGACAACAAAATGTCGACGGAATCGGCATAAGCAAAGCATGATTTTGTACATAATCTTCTTGTAATAAGAGGTCTAAGTGATAACACCATGTTTGGTAATCACCAAATTATTAGCATATTTAAAAATCGAAGTATAATACTATAGGACCACCTTAGTGGGCCGAGCCAATTGGCCCATTTCTCGGCCCAATCGAAATATTTAAGGAAATGATTTGTAAGAGGATGAAATTATCCTTCCAATTAATTATCTTTCCATTAATTAATCTCTCCACTCCACTTGTCACAATTAACATTTAATCTAAGAGCAGTAAAGGTCAAATATGGAAAAAAAGGTAAAGAATTTGTTTCAGAAGTAATTAACCATTCAAACCAAGACACGTGGCGTGATGTGTGAACCAATCCTTAATTTGCATAATATTATTCTACAAACAAAATGTGCAAGAAAACTCTTCTATATATCAATTGATGTCGAAATTGGAATCGTAAGTCCGTCATATAGCTTGAATTTGCCCTCCGTATCCGTAAAACTTGAGCAGCCCTTCGTTCTGTCGCCAGTTCTCTTTCACCTTTACTTCTATCTGCATATTTATATAAGGTTCCCTTCGATTATTTTCTCGTTCTTGCATAAATTACATTTTTGTCCTTCATTAGTACTTGGATGATCACAATAATACAACAATGCTTACCTCAAGGAATACTTTCTTCTGCAAGAAATCTTCTATGTCTAATCGAGCTGCTGTCGCTAGCAGCTTTAGTGCTTTTCCTTCCTGATTATAATAATCATCCACAACAGATTAATTTGATTCGATTCTGCATACAAATTCAATACCAATCGAAGAAGAATATTACCTTTCCAATAAGGATAATCTTCTGCGAGTTCTTCTCCACGACAATTTCGACTTGGATGAAGTCTTTCGCATTTGGTCTAGTTTTGTAACTAACCACATTAACCTATCGCATCATAGCAAACAAATAAGACAAACGCCCCACAAATAAGTACGAATTTTTATATTTTTTTTTCCGAATTTAATCGTAGGTTTATAATTAACCTGGCACGCATAAGGGACTTCGTTTCGGTACTGCATAAAGATTTTTTCTCTGACAATTTCAGCGACAAAAAATCTCTCAGGGTGCTCACTAGTGATATCCTGCAGATTAACATAATCGTTCGGTTTCAATCCTTATTTAGTTGCAGATTCATTGAAAAACCTATATACGATAAATTATACACCTTAGGATAATAAGCGGGTCCATGAGGAAGTTTCGATAAAATCCAGTCCTTGATGTCATCAACTCCTTGGCCATATTTAGCACTCACAGGTATGACCTCATCAACCTCCGTAAAATTCTCATACCACTGCACGAAATACGGTTTCGTTTTTATATACTAAAACCTATTCGCATTTCATATGTAATTAAGTTTCACTACAACGCAAAAACATTCGGAAAATGTAAACATACCTCGATTTTCTTAGCGATTTCACCTGGTTTGATGAGATCCCGTTTATTTAAAACAAGAAGAGTGGGTAACTTATCTTTGATCTCTACCACTCCTTCCAAAACTTCTTCAATCTGATAATACACCATTTCATATTAGCACAAACTTGAATAAATTTTTCTAAGAAAACGTAGGTAGTGTATATATAATATACCTTTTGAGGTGGTCTACAAGCATCAACGACAATGACTACACAGTCGGCATTGACAGTAGCACTTCGGACATTCTTCATCATCATCGAATCCAATTTGTGCATTTTCTTCTCGATAACTCCCGGTGTATCGTATAGTATCATCTACATTAATCAAACACATACCATATCTATGAATTGTCAACTAAATCATACACAAAAAGAATTAGAGAGAGAGAGAGAGAGAGAGAGAGAGAGAGAGAGAGAGAGAGAGAGAGAGAGAGAGAGAGAGAGAGAGAGAGAGAGAGAGAGAGAGAGAGAGAGAGAGAGAGAGAATCAGACCTGATAGTCTGTGCCGGAGCAAATACCAAGAATACGGTGTCTGGTGGTCTGAGGTTTGTCGGTGACGATTGATAGCTTCTGGCCGAGCATTTGATTGGAGAGAGTACTCTTTCCGACATTGGGGCGACCCACAACCGCGACATACCCGCTCCGGTGATTCGGGTCGAGGGGTCCGAAGTCCATTTCTTCCATCTCGTAATCGTCGAGCATAGCCATGCTTCTGTCGGGCTTCACGCTCAAAGAAAGCAAAGTCGACGACGACGACGTTTCGGCGTCCTCCTCCTCTTCCTCTTCCTCCCCCGCATCTTTACTTCTCATGTTATATCCGCTGCTCCCTTCTTCTAGTTCCAGAACTCCGAGAGAAGAAGTGGTGGCGGCGGTGGCAGAGCTGTAATTTACAGAAGTTCGGGTGTTCCTCCATTTCGTGGCTTGGAATTGAGGAAGATTTCTTCTTTTGTGGTGTACGAGTTTTGTGGTTGGAGGGAGGGGAATTTTGTACTGCAATGTCAATTCCTTCATTTTTTGTTTCTCGATAAAATTACCAGGTAAATTCAAAAGAGCATCGCCGCCGTAAGCTCCTCTTCCGCCGCCGTCGCAGTGTATTAGTATTACTTGTGTGGAAGTTGTAGCTGAGGTGTGCTTCTGCTCTTACTCTTTACTCTAATACTCCATAGCCAAATCAAAATGTGTTATCCGCTTAGCACAGTGGCACCAGTGATACGACGACGTTTTTGAACGAGGGTATTTTTGGTATTTTTAAATGGGCTTTTAAAAAATATTATGGGCCGAGATTTGGCCCAATTTCGGCAGTTGCCCCTCCCAACAAGAAAAGTATTTTTTAACTTTGAAATCATTTCTGTGAAAAATCTCTTGAACCTTCGCCCTTTTCTCTCTCTTGCGCATCTGCGGTGGATTTGCTCTGAGAATTACAGGTCAGTTCACCTTTTTCCGATTTGTTATTATTGTTTTTTTTTTTTTTTTTCTTTTAATCGTATATTGGATTCTTCATTTTCTGTGTTGAATTTTTTCAATTTCTGTAGCCCTAGTTGCATAAACGCGAGTATGATTTTGATTTATCTGCATTTTATGATTAATAGTAATGAATAATGAGATGAACATTTCTAGTTGATAGCTAAATTAGGGAAATATATGTGAAATTTCAAGTACTAATCTCTACTATCAGCTCGTACTGAAGCTTTAATCTTGACTTTTATAGCGAGAGAACAGAGGGAAATGGTTGGGGAACGATGATATAATGATCTGCTGTTTTTCTTGTGCTTTTATCTTTGATTTTTGTTATTGTATCGATTCTCGAAGATTTTTTTTTAGTTTTACATGTTTTCAAACAGTTTTATTTATTGCCAATATATTGTTAATATCTGCAGAAATTCAGATCTGAATCCATAACCATGTCTTCATCGAATTACCCCGCCACAACTGATTCCCTTATCCAAGCTACCCAATCCAACGTTCCAGCTGAAGCTATCTCCATCCTTTACTCCATTATCGAAAACCCTTCATCTTCATCAGATGCCCTACGCATCAAAGAACAAGCCATCACCGCTCTCTCCGATCTTCTCAGGAAAGAAGGCCAATCGGAAGACCTTCGAAACCTCCTAACTAAACTCCGACCATTCTTCACCTTAATCCCAAAGGCAAAAACCGCCAAAATCGTCCGCAGTATTGTTGACGCAGTTGCTAAAATTCCCAACACGTCCGATCTGCAAATCTCCCTCTGCAAGGAAATAGTCCAATGGACACGTGACGAAAAACGAACTTTTCTACGTCAGAGAATTGAGGCTAGGCTTGCTGCTCTACTGCTCGAGAGCAAGGAATATTCTGAAGCACTAAATCTCCTCTCGGGTCTCGTCAAGGAGGTGCGAAGATTGGACGATAAGCTCCTATTGGTCGAAATCGACTTGCTCGAGAGCAAACTCCATTTCTCGTTGAGAAACCTCCCCAAAGCTAAAGCTGCACTAACGGCAGCAAGAACTGCAGCAAACGCTATCTACGTGCCTCCAGCTCAGCAGGGAACTATTGATCTACAGAGTGGGATTCTTCACGCGGAAGAGAAGGACTACAAAACGGGCTACAGTTACTTCTTTGAAGCTTTCGAAGCTTTCAACGCCCTAGAAGATCCACAGGCGATTTACAGCCTGAAGTACATGCTTCTGTGCAAGATTATGGTGGGCCAGGCTGATGACGTGGCGGGGATAATATCATCTCCGAAAGTTGGTCTGCAGTATCAAGGGCCGGAATTGGATGCCATGAAAGCCGTGGCGGATGCTCACTCGAAGCGTTCGCTCAAACTATTTGAGGTTGCTCTCAAGAATTTCAGGACACAGCTCGATGAAGACCCTATTGTGCATAGGCATCTTTCTTCGCTTTACGATACTCTGTTGGAGCAGAATCTTTGCAGGTTGATTGAGCCGTTCTCGAGGGTTGAGATTGCGCACATTGCTGAGTTGATTGAGTTGCCAGGTCAGAGTGTTGAGAAGAAACTGTCTCAGATGATTTTGGATAAGAAGTTTGCTGGGACTTTGGACCAGGGTGCTGGATGCTTGATCATATTCGATGATCCTAAAACGGATGCGATTTATCCGGCGACATTGGAGACTATTTCGAACATGGAGAAGGTTGTGGACAGTCTTTATGCAAGGTCTGCAAAGATAATGGCTTGAGAGGAGGGATTTTAATTTTGGAGAGACTCAACTTTTCTGCTTAGCAATTATTCTCTTTCTTCATTAGTTGTGAGACATGAATTAACTTCTGTATTATTGTTCATCTTATCTGTTTTATTTTTTCTTATGAACTGCATTTTCTTGTTTGAGGAGCATTTGATTGTTATTTGATATTTGTGAACTTGGATTTAATGCGCTCGAAAACTACTTGTGCCACCAAGTATGAATGTATGCTATATTTCTTGCAATTATGCAAATTAGTATGAAGGAAAAAAAACAAATTAACTCTTATGAAGATAAAGAAATATATGTTTTCAAGTTCATATGTTGATTTTCAGAGAAATCACAAAATATTAGATTATAAGAAAAACACAACTTTATTTATCGCAAGCCATATATCACGGACCTACACACCACACAGGGTACGTGCTCTAATATGTCGGTGTCGAACAATCTCAAATGGAGAAAGCATGTACAAGTATATACTGGCATTTTTTTACAGTATGTTTTTATTGAATTTATACATATTCTGCAGTAGGAAAACCAACAGTAAAAAGGAAAATGAAAAAATGTTGGTATTAACAAGATGGTTATTTCGACCCCCTGTTTTGTTTTGGTTATTTCTTTCTATGCTATATATAGCCTGCAACTATGCTATAAGATTTGGAGTTTGACTAGTTCGACTTGTGGTCAACCTCATGAGCATTCGATAGGGTTTTGGAAGAAGATGAACCTTCTTTGGGAGTGTGGAAGTAAGAATATGCTACGTAAGCTGAACCGAGTGCAACTGCAGTAGAAATAGATCCCCACACCCATTTTCTTATTTTCTTCCTTCTTTGCCTTAGTTGCCTTGCCGTTTCTACACAAGAGGCACACCATAACATCAGAACATCAATCATGTTAATTCAATAAAGAGAACAAATTGTAGAATGCTTAACATATAGCAAAAAGCAGAAAACTGGATTAGACTTTTGAAATGAAAGCATAGTTAATATAACTCAAGGGTGAGCTCACTGCAAAGAGAAAGCTTTAGAAACTTACCTACAACTTCTTGGTTTCTCTGAGACATCTCTCGGTTCACTGCTTCATAATAATGAAGCCTGTCCCATAAACGAGCAATCTCGACATTCTTCAGCTTTATTTGAGCTTCCATCTCCATCTCAGCCTCAGCCTTTGCAGTTCCCCTCCCAACCGAGTTAGACACAAACCGAGCAAGATATACTTGTTGGCACACATCTGCTGCAAAATCAGCACCATCTTCTGGTAAAGTAGTTGGATCTACGGGGAGTGTCAACCCTACAAGCGATAATTCTTCACGGATCCTCTGCCACTGGTATCGCACACTATTTAAGGTTTCTTCAGCCTGCTTCCTCTTTTCTATCTCCATCAATAAAGTCAATCGTATTTCACGCAATTCACTTTCAAAATCAGGCATTGGAAGCTGCGGCCCATTCTCTGACGACAATTCTGAGACATGAAACGAAAATAAGTCATCAACAGAAATGTCTGACATCATAACTTAAAAAAACAGAATGTCTAATCCTGAAAACGAAAAGCAAAAGGCAAAAACAAGGCACCTTCCCAAGCATCATAGAATTCAGCCATTGGTGTTGTAGAATTCAGAGTCCGTTCTGCTCCAAAATTACCCTCACTTTCACTAATGCTCTTAACACTCATTGAATCCTGTGGGTCGACAAAATAATCAACATCACCATCTTGCTGCAAATTAAATTCAACAGACTTGATAAGACCATTTTGCCCCGACGGACCATTTCCCATATCACTGCTTCCATGTTCACCATTACAACCTCCATTCAAATGTTTTTCCTTGTCATCTCCAGTGACAGATGGTTCGATATCACCATCTATAGTCGAATCAAGAACCCTAGTAGGAACACAACTATCATCCTTAGACACACTTACTATCTCTTTTTCAGCAGAGTTCCCATTTCCATCCACCTTAATCTCATCAGTACCCTGTTTCCAAGACGAAACATCATCCTCGGAGAAACTCTTCATGAGTCGTGGACCCCTTCGCTTGTGATTAATAACGTAAGGCGATGGTGGGAATGAAGACGGAGAATCGGGAAGTGGGGTGGATATGGGAGTGGCATAGAGTGCTGGTGAGAATTGAGCCCATTGGTGCTTCTTATCTGCAACTGATGTGGTTGTATTTATTGCACCATTTTTCCAACCGAGCTTCGGATTAGGAGGAATATTAACTCCCCTTTCAAGATTTGTGTTAGGAGGAACGCTAACTCCTCTTTCAATCTTCGGGAGTGGAGGAATGCTGGCCCCTCTTTCCACCTTTGAACCAGAAGAAACGATTACCACATCTTCAGTAGAGTAAGGAGTGCTATGTCTCCTCTCGAGTTTCGAGTCGGTGGAATTTCTCGGTGGTACCATGGACTTTGCAGTTCCAGGTTCTATCAGTCTATCCAGAGCTAAAGCTGTAAATGTCGGCATGACTCTCCAGCATCAAACTATCTACGGAAACCAATTAAAGACAATAATTAATATTTTGTGTTCATTTCGAGAACAAGAATTAACTTCACAAAATAGGCTCCAACAGCAAAAAAAAAAAAAAAAAAAAAGGGTTTCCTAAATTATTGCTAAAAAAACTCAACTTTTAACAGAAATAAGATCCAAATGACATATTGCAGGTAAGAGGTAGATTCCAGGATTGAAGATAAACCAATAATACAGTACACTCAAAATATTGTGGAGAAAACAAGCAACAATAAGAAAATTCATTGTCCTATACAACACGATTTTGTATATTAGTAATCGTTTCTCCTGGAAAACTAGAGCTAAAATATTTCCAAATTCAAGGGACCATAAAAATAGCATCCCAAACAAACACCAAGAGAAGGGTGATTCGAAATCCAGAGGGTATATAATCGTCAAACATAGATGAAATCGACAGTGAACGAACAATTACAACACGTGCACAAAAAAAAAAAAAAACCTAACTCGTCAAAATGATCTGTTCATCCAGACGATTGGGCAAAAGAATCTAGGAAAAAAAAAAAGGAGAATGAAAATAAAACTAACCGAAGGAAGGGGAAAAGGAAGAAACCCTCGATCGGAGGATTAGAAGGCAAACAGGAGAAGAATAACCGTGGAGAAATGAAGAAAAAGCTTCATTGAAAATACAGGTGCAGCTTCTTCAATGGCGTGAGAAACGAAGAATTCCGATCCATGACTGAGATCATTTTTCTCTCTCTCTCTCTCTCTATAATCTGCCCCCAAAAAGTAAGAAAGAAGAGAAAGAAGAGAGAGAGAGAGGTTGTTATTAAGAGATATAGATACAACAAACACAACACACAGTCTTGTATTTCTCTGTTTATTGGATATTTTCTTTCTTTTTCTGCGATTTTTTTGCGTCTCCGTCTTTGGTCGTCGCATTCCCCACCCCTTTTTTCTAATTTCATTTTAATTAAGAAAATAATAATTCAATTTCCCCCCCAAAAAAAAAAGAATTAGCATAATTTGTTTATGGCTTTTTGGGGTATTGTAATATCATATGGCTTTTGATTGTATTGGAGAAGTATAATTTAATTTGTTTCAATATATATGTTTTATTATTATCATTTAAATGGCTTTTGACTGTATCATAATTTGTTTGAATTTATGGGCTATTATTTTAAAGAATTGAGTCAGTCCTCCCATGTTAAAATTCCTTTAATTTATTTTAAATAGTAATTTATAAATTAAAAAAAATATTATTAATAATACATTCCAAATGTATAAAATGGTATGTCAATGTGTATAGATAAAAATTGGAACAAGAAATTGAACACAAGTAAAGATTAATTATAAAGGATTAATAATCAAGAACAGCCTTTGAGTTAATATATTGCATGATACAATAATGGACAACCTTAATTAATTGTAGTAAATAACAGGCTTGTTTGATTTCATGTCGTCCCATAATCCACCACCCTCCTTAACATATTCCAAGTACCTCGAGAATTCTGGCTTTGCCGCAGTTCCCTTCTTCTTTCGTTTCGTCTCGAAAAGACTGAAGAACGGATGAACTTTACTTGCCTTTTTTATTTGTTGTTGTTGATCAGATGCATGAGTACTGCTAGTTATATTCTTCTTCTTGGAATAGCTGAGGCTTTTGGCTCTACTCAGCTCAGACACCACCGGAGCTTCGGCTGCCGCCTCATCACCACCGCCTAATTGCTCGTACCCTCGCCGGCCTCTTCTGCTGCTCAAAGCTCTAAACATTTGATCATGAATGTTGTTTATTGCAATTGTTGGATTGAGTTTAGGGAAGAAATTAAGAAAGATATGATGGGGTTGGTGAACTAATTATATTAGTGGAGTAGAAATTGCAATTGGCTTAGTTTGTTTGTGATTTGTTGAGGTTGTAATAAACTAAATTGTAATAATGCTTTCTTTAGTATTTACTTTACTTGTTTACTAAAGTTTAAAAGTAGCAAAAGGAGGTTGTGAGGTTTTCTTTTGTTGACTTGTTGGGTGCAAAGCTTACCTAACTTTCAAGAATGACTTTCATATAATATATTGGTTTTCTAGTTAATAGTTATATTGTATTGAACATCAAATTTATAGTGACATTTGTTATAAATATTTTTCAAGTACTAGTAATAATTTAAATACTACGCTAAAATATGATTAATCGTTAATTTGTCATTGTGATTCCAATGCCACTTGAACCGATTATTAGTGAAATAGTAAAACAGTAGAATCTCGATAATAGTTTCTTCTGCTCTCAACTTGGATAAAACCTACTAATTTTAATAATTCGATAATTTAATATTTCGCTAAATAACAGAATTTTACTAGTGTTGACTGTACTAATTTATAAAAGTTTAACTGAGTTTATTTTACATGTGAACTTGTCTTTGTGAGTTTTGCTAAAAACTAATTTCCTACTACCAACAAACAACTTTCCTAAAACTGAATGGTGAGTCACACGTGTCGTACAACCACCTGTCGGGAACTTAGAATTCCCTATTAAATCACAACATTTTCCTATTTTGTTTAGTAAATCTTGGGAAAAATAATATCTGATTGGTCTAAATAATATTACAAAGAAAAAAAAAATGTGTGAAGAAACAACCACCGTGGCACCACCTCCAGCAACCACAGTATGTGTCACCGGAGCGGCAGGCTTCATCGGCTCGTGGATTGTCATGAGGCTCCTCGAACGTGGCTATGTTGTTCGTGCAACTGTTCGAGATCCCGGTATAATTAATTTTTTCTTTTTTCTTCTTACACAAGTAACTAATCTAATTGATTTCCAATGACATTGACATTTTTTTAATGAACTTTGTGGTGTGAAAATGTGTAGAAAACAAGAGCAAAGTGAAACACTTGGTAGAATTGCCAAAAGCAGACACAAATCTGACACTGTGGAAGGCTGATATGAACATAAAAGGAAGCTACGATGAAGCAGTCCAAGGTTGTCAATGTGTGTTTCACATGGCCACCCCTATGGATTTCGAATCCGAAGATCCAGAGGTATTTTTTTTTTATACACTTCGCGTTACGCGCAAAAATACACACATTCATATTGGTGTGTGTAGAATTGACGGTTTCAATCTTTACTCGGTGTACACTTCACTTCACTACGTGTTTTTCTAACTCTCGTAGGACTAGGGTGGAAATTGGAACGGTAATTCCGATTTATGCCAATTCTGATTTGAAATGTTCCGATCTTGGAACAATATTACTCATTCCAAATCCCAAACTTTCAATTCTGATTTTTTTTTTCAAAATTACACTTATAATATCAAGTACTATTAACATTTTATATGTTGTCACTAAAAAATTGGAATTTTTCCAAATTCCGCGGATTTCCAGAATGAAGTGATAAAGCCAACAATAGAGGGAATGATGAGCATCATAGAATCATGTGCCAGAGCAAAAACAGTGAAGAAATTGATATTCACAAACTCAGCCGGAACTTTAAACGTCGAACCACACCAGAAACCTGTGTACGACGAGACCAATTGGAGTGACCTGGATTTCATCCTCTCCACTAAAATGACTGGATGGGTTAGTTTCTCTCTCTAACTTCTAAATTAGATTATTTCTCTAACATCATTAAAATGTTTGGTTTTTTCACCTGCAGATGTACTTTGTGTCCAAGATTCTGGCCGAGAAAGAAGCAATGGAAGCAGCTAAAGAGAGTAACATTAACTTCATCAGCATTATACCACCCGTAGTTGTCGGTCCATTCATCATGCCTACTATGCCACCTAGCCTAATCACTGCACTTTCCCCTATTACCGGTGATTCTCTTACATCTAATTTTTCTTACTTCAAGAGTTTAAGTTCGGGGGGTTCGATTTCTGACTAACACTTCGCTTGAAATATGAACTAGGGAATGAACCTCATTACTCTATTATAAAGCAAGGGCAGTTTGTGCATGTGGATGACCTATGCGAGGCTCATATATTCTTGTTCGAGAATCCCAATGCACATGGAAGATACGTTTGCTCATCTCATGATGCCACTATTTACGATATAGCCAATATGATCAGAGACAACTGGCCTGAATATCATATCCCAACTGAGTGAGCCTCTCTCTATATATGTTCATTCTACGTATATACGTGTGTGTCCGATTTGGACAAACCCTAAAATGTAATGTTTTGACATGAACAGATTCGAAGGGATTGACAAGAACATACCAGTGGTGCGTTTCTTGTCGAAGAAGTTGACAGGAATGGGGTTTTCGTTCAAGTACACGTTGGAGGACATGTTTAGAGAAGCCATCGAGACTTGCAGAGAGAAGGGATTGCTTCCGTATTCAACTCAAATCCATATCAATGGAGACGAGAAGGAATACACTTTGAATTCCCTGGAAAAACAGTCTGATACTCGAGAAAAAGAGTTACTTCCAGCTTCAATGGAAAAACAACAGACTGGCCTAATTTCAGACACGCATTCATCTCAAATCCATACTAACGGAGAAGAGAAGGAAATTATTTTCCAGTCCCTGGAAAAACATGCCAACGGACAAGAAACGGACATAGTTCCAACTTCAAAGGACAAAAATGCCTTGGGACAAAAGAATGGTCTGCTTTCGGGCATTGCATAAGACCACAATAATGGCGGAATCAAGAAGATGGAGAAGATTGTTATGTTTTGATTTGTTTTCAACTGTATTGTTTTGTTTTCAACTGTATTCTTCAGTATTTCAATCTCATGGTGTGTTGGCGGAATGTTTTATTTTATGCTCCACTGTAATATTACTTCCATCAGTATAATAAATAATGGCAACTACTCAATTTGGAATCGCTTTATAGTTAGACCTCTTTCATTTTTCCAATATCTATTACGCCAGTTTTGTTAGGAAACCTAAACCGATGTCGGAAGAACTAACTGAGTAAATATGTAGAGAATTTACGATAAAAAGAATATCAATCTGAGGATATAAAGTACAATGATGGCTCTCCCTTTCCTAGATTAGGCACTTATTTAGTAAATAAATTTGATCGCATTAGTCTTTAAATTGTGCACGCTTTTTTGTTAAAACGCTTTGCAAATATGCTGTAGTCCAGCAAATCTGCACGGCTTTAATTTCGGCCCAAGTTCATATGGATTATTTTATTTGCCACATAAAACACGGCTTTCATGAGACTTCCCATAGAGAACAAATGAAAAAGCATCCATTTAAGTAGAAACAGAAATCGACGAAAACAAATAAGTAGACGTTATAGCATTTCAATAATCAGAGATGGAAACGCTACGCATAGAAACAATAATGTTTACCGGGATTGATCCTTCGAACTTGCCTGGCCCCAGAACTTATTGAAACTGAAACTCACGGATTTATCTAAGAATCCACGGGAAAAAACACGACAAAAATAAGTTTGAATATGTTGCATATTAGGAAGCGCTTGGAGCTTTGATAAGCTCTGGTGTTGCCTCGCGAACAACTGCCAACGTTAAATCGTACTCTGCATCCTGATGAAGTTTCTTGTGGAGTACCTTTTCAAACTCTATCTTTTCGAGTTCCTTAGCATTCTCAGCGGCATGTGCTTGTGCTAGCTTTGAATAATTGATGGCTGATTGAGCTATGAACGCAATTTCATCGTCTGTTAGCTTCCTCAGGAATTTCGCTGGATTTCCTCCCCATATCTGATATTCAGAACATCACCCATTAAGCAATATAAAATAGAAAATCAGGTTTCTTTTGCACTCTCGTTACCGAATTTAGAGCCAACATGAAAAGATCGTAAAGTGTAGGATTGAATAATTGATAGGTCGGCCATAAATCTAACAAACCTCCCCAGAGGGTATTCTTGTATTCTGTCTGACAAGAGCTCCAGCAGCAACCATTGCATGTTTCTCAACGACCACCCCATCGAGCAAAGTTGCACCCATACCAACAAATGCCTCATCTTCTACAGTGCATCCATGCAAGATAGCACTATGACCTGTCCAGTCCAATGTGTGAATTATCCGTTAGGATATAGAAATTACTAAGCAGGACCGGATATTCATGAACAAAGTTGTTTAATGTTACTAACCTACAGTAACATTGTCGCCGATAAGTGTAGGCAAGACCTTCCCATATAGATTAGATTTGGCTACATGAACAAGAGAATTGTCTTGTATATTGGTTCCACTTCCGATACTGACTTTGTTAACATCACCTGCACAAAAACATAACCTTTTTAAACAAAAATGCAAGCATATAACGCCCAAGTACCATGAAGAAACATGCAGAGATAATGCTGAAACAACCAAAACATGTTCAGATCACACTTCTTAGTTTCTTGGTTCAAATCCTTTATCCAAACAAAGTATTCGAAAAGCAACCTAAGTGAAAAAGAAAGCAGTAATAAAAGGAGCAAAAAGTATATCTCATGGCAGTAAAACATCAGATTGATGGAACAAAGAGAAGCCGTCGCTTAAATTGCTCTCTCGACCACTTTTAAGGGCACGTACTTGCTTCTGTTCAACTTGACTTCAAAATACAATCCTACATCATTTAGTCAACTATTGATCTCTGTTTTCACATCGAAACGGCAAGCTTATTCGCATTCTAATTTGCTAATAGAAGGCAATCTTGAATTAAGGAATCATGGCACACCATAAAATTATAATTACCAGGAGCAAGTAATTGGTGGAAGTTAATCATCTATGATTTTATACCAATCAAAGTCCAGTAAAACACAAGAAACAACAGCTACATTTAATTCAATGAACGACGTACCTCTTACAACGCATCCATACCAGATGGAGGAATTACTTCCAACATGAACATCGCCAATGATGGACGCACTAGGGGCCACAAAGACATCCTTTTGAACAAAAGGGGCTTTGTCGAATAAGTTCATTAGTGTCCTATGCCTTGACACTGGTGTAAAAAAATTATAAGTAAAAAATATCCAGAAAACTTATGAAAAAGATTTACCACAAAAGCAAAAGATATATAACATATGCAATTATCCATATCTGAGGGAAAATATAAAGAGAGATTCGGTAGTCTCTACCAAGTCATATCACTAAAAACAGTAAAAGAATCCTCGGGAAAAGAAAAGGAAATAAACTGTTTTTTTTGTATCACACCATATTCTGGATATGCCTAACGCCCAAGGGTCACACGAAAAAACTGAAATGTGGTTTGTCGATTTGCACTAAGTGGAATCTGCTTAACATCCTCATTGTAGATCCCTGTTACAAGAAAAACATGCTAAAGACCCAACTTATTTGGCAGTTCAAATGATATATATTTGACGGGTCAATATATTTTCTCCCAAATAAAGATTCTTGCTTTTGTAGAGTTACAAGCATTATAAATCTAACTAAAGGACCACTTAACCTAGAGAAATTTTCATAGAAATCACTAATTAATTGTAAATAGCTTGGTTAGGATGATAAATTACTATATCATTCTCTTCAGAACTCACAAATTTCAGAAATTACAATCAAAATAAGGCACCCTTGTATCTATCTCCGCCATGCGAAACAATCTAATGGGTGAGAGAGAAAATGCAACAGCTCCGGTGCACTTCATATTGCATAAAATCACATCAATTGAACAAAATTGCAAGGGTAGACCTCTACATCCACATACTTCAAATTTAGGTCTGGTAAGACTGAACACTTACAAACCACGCATTTTAACCATTACGCTGGCCTACTTTCATGAATTCAAAACCCGAATCTAAAAACAAAACCCCTACGACAGCTTTGATAAAGCAGTGAAAAATAAATAAATAAATAACGAAATAACGAAATAATGAAATGTAGGCAGCAGAAGCTAAAATGATCTGCAAGGAAAAAGCAAAAAAGATGATCGGATAATTACGCTGTTCTTGGAAAAAGTAATTTCCCTGGAGGCGGCAGCCGAGGCGATCGAGGGCTTGGCCGGTTTCCCTGATCCAGAAACCGACGGTGCAGATTGATCTCCCTAAAACCATCTTCTTCTTCGTCTTCCTCGGAAATGGGTGGTGTTTCTGCTGTCGGATTGGGAATTTGCAGAGGAAATTGGAAAGTCTGAAATTAGGGGAGCATTCGATTTGGGGGAAAATAGAGAGTGAAGAAACAAGTGTGGGAGACCACACACCGATTGTAAAATGGACCCAGTTGAGTTCACCCACCGAGTTACTCGCCACTTTCTAATATACAAGCCGTAAACAAATCGACTAAAATGGGACCTGTAAATTATAATTGTTCGAGTTAATTTAAAAAAAAAATAAGAAATTTAATAAATATGTTTGAGCTTGATTTTATCCAATTTAGTCGAGTTTGAACGAATTTTAATCGAATATAATATGATGAATCGAGCTCAAATAACTTAACTTTTGTGAAAAAAAAAGTTTTTCTTACATATTATCAATGTCGAAGTTATCGATGTGAATAATGTGAAATGAATAAGTTTAATATTGATCTGAAATGAAATATCGAGCAGTTTGATTCAATTTTCAATTATAAATTTTATTTTTTTCCTTTATTCTTTTCTTGGAAATAAAAGTAAACAATTTATATACCATACTATGTGGCATGTAGTACCGAATTATATTTATAGGTGGTTATCAAATAATTAACTATATTATTTTTTCCTTGATTAACATTCGTTTTATATAAACATATAAGGAAATTTTACCACATCTCCCCAATTTTTGGAAATAATAGAATACCACACAAGAAATTTGATGATATACCTAAATGGGCCGGCCCAATGGGTCCTCAAATTTATCTACTAATTAGGCCCACTACATGAGAGCCCAATCATATACAAGTGGGTCCATTACACGAAAGCCCAAGCTCCTTCAAAGTTAGCCCAAGCTCCTTCAAAGTTAGGCTTTGGCCCAACAAAGTAAGCCCAACCCATTCAACGATATATAAATAGATGTTTTACTCATTTATTGAGGTACGTTCTAATTATTCACAATCAACCACGAGTTTTATTCTCTCTACTATCTCTACGATCCGTACATCTGACTTGAGTAGGGACCCCTCAGGATCATCGAGTTGACTAGCTACTGATCAACTTTGCTCTCCCAGCTCGTTTTCTATACTACTCCGGTGAGCTATACTTTAGCATCATCAAAATTAAAGGGACAATTTTCAAGATCACCTAATTAAATAGTTTGTATGCAGAATATAATGTGTTCAATATGTTAATCTATAATTATAATAAAGGGACAATTTTCAAGATCACCTAATTAAATAGTTTGTATGCAGAATATAATGTGTTCAATATGTTAATCTATAATTATAATATACATTAATTGGTTATATAAATTAGGTTGAGTTTATTATTATGATTTTAAGAGTTCATCGTACGTCTCTGATCAGAAAATAATAAATTGCAGGATTTAAGGAGCTTCGATTTATTACTTTAAATTAAAATTACAACAAGTTCGATACATGAATACAGACTTGTGTAAACACATGACATATAATAATAATACATCACAAAGGATGTTAAGACACAACAAACATATATATTTAAGACAACGACGAAAAACGGGGTCGTTATACATTTATTTATTTAGTTATCTCGAAAATGTTCGACTGATGAGTGAATGTTTATAGAGTCACTGCCTCAAGCTCTCCACAATGTACGAAGCGTAAAGATCCCTGCACTCACATACATACATATATACAAACATTCATTCATCGTCTACACATACCAACATCGATGTGTGTTATAATTAATTAAGTAATGAGCAAAAGATGAAGCTTAGATAACAAGTAATGACTGACATGGAGTAGTTAATAGCATCAGTTGCTGATTCAGCAGGCAGGAATTCTTCCACTTCAACTGACTTGTTCTCGTTCTTTTTGTCTACATAATATATATATTTCAATACAAATTAATTAATTAGTGAAGGATTGGTGTAATTAATAATCAATTATATTTTTTTATTTTTAATTTAAATAATATTGTTGGAATGTATATACAGTCTTCAAAGAAGCGGCGAATTTCAGCAAGGCGGTGTGGTGGTAGATCTTTTATGTCCTTGTAGTGACGAAACTCCGGATCATCAGCGCAAACGGCTATTATCTTGTCATCCTTTTCTCCCTGTTGAATTAATAAAGAAAATTAAGTTTTTGCTATTTAATTTCCAGAGCATTAAGATTAATTAAGAAAATTATTTAAAATAACATGCATCCTCGTATTATTAATTGTTGTTTGTAAGAAAGAAGTTTACCTGGTCTATCATAGGCATCAATCCAATGGCACGTGCACGAAGGTAACTACCAGGAAGAACCGGTTCCTATGCGCGATTTTCATATATATCCAATTAATTAATATTTAGCAAAATTATTAATAATTTCATATTGAATTTCAGACAGCAGACAAAAAAAAAAAAAAAAAAAAAACAACCTGCATAAGGATGAGAACATCCATAGGATCATTGTCTTCACAGAGGGTACGAGGAATGAAACCATAGTTGTGTGGATATACAACTGATGAGTACAGAATTCTATCCACCTGTAATTATAACAAATTATTTAATTCATTTTTAAAAGACGAATAAAATATATATAGAACATAAACATTCACCAATTAGTACATCATTTAATTTCTAAAAGTATTATTGATTTTGATTACAAGGCTAAAAGTGTCCAAGAGGATTCACAAAGAGTAGAAAGAATTGCGATACAGTACTTTGATAAGGCCACTGGTTTTGTCGAGCTCGTATTTCACTTTGCTGCCTTTTCCTATCTCGACCACCTGCAAATTAAAGTTGCTCGTAATTAACATGCTGCTAAAAATACTTATATATATATATATATATATATATATATATATATATATATATATATATATATATATATATATATATATACATTTCATCATGTGTAGATAGATGAAGAACCACTTACACAGTTGAATATTAGTGGTGCCCCTGGCCCTGCATATGCATAACATCCAACATCGAAACATGAAAAGATATAATTAAGTCCGAGAAAATGGAAAGGAAAAAAAACGATGATCGAAATTAGGCCGATGTTACACTATGTATAATAAGTTGGATTAAAGTTAAGCTTATAAAGAAGTGTGAGTACCGATTTCTAAGTCATGCCATGGATGAGCAGCAACGGATCTTCGTGACATAGAAGACAGAATCCTTTCGTTCAGTGCAGCATGAGAGCTTCCCATTTTTTTTGCAGACATTTTGTTCGATCAACTATTTTTCTTGAGGGAGAAGATGATTGAGTTAGAGTGAGAGAGGAATAATGTGAGTTTTGTGACAACTGAAACAAGCTCTGTCAATTGGCGTTATGAAGAGTTTCACTGTGTCTTTGTGTGACAGATCATGGGCAAGAATTAGAATATAGTACGTGGACTCTGGACTCTGGAGTGTGTAAAAATGACGTGGCACTTTTCCTGGCAAAATGTTTGGTCTATGGTCAACCTCAGTCGTTGGATATTGATCATATTATCGAAATAAATATTTGTAACAGGATTTGAATTCCTCAATAAAAAAAAAAAAAAAAAAAAAAAAAAAAAAAAAAAAAAACTGAAGCCAAAGATGGATAAAAAGGATGGATTCTTTACAAGTTCCACAGAATAAAGATTATTATATGGAATAAATAAAGGTCATAAAAAAGGTGAAGAAGCATGAATTCATCACTTTATTACAAGAATCCCATATTGTTTTGTCTTCTCATGTATTGTTGTTACTGTGTCTTTTCCTTTTTAAAAATCGGAGAATGTTCCTTTGGACCATATTCTACACTATGATAACTGCCGATTGGACGAACTCTTCCTATATATGCTCATAAACTTGACCACAAATTCTGCAAACATACATCAATTGTACGATTCAGTAATAACATCTTACTTTAATTAACCATCTCAACTGTTTGATTAGTCAATAAAGATTGAATATACATTACCTTCGAGCTTTAGTAAGGCACTTGTTCCAGTTGGGAGTCTCTTATCCTGCACAAAACAATTGATTAATTAACTCATCTTTTTTTCTGTTTTTTTTTCTTCATATTTATCTTTTGGTGTAATTAAAATCGAATAGGTAGTGAAGTATGAAACTTACATAGTAAGCATACCAATAGTACAGTTCCCTTTTCAGAGTGGCTTCTATTCCCTTGAGGAATTGTTCAACAAGTTTCTGCACGACTACCGTTAGTTACGCTACACACGATCATATAGGCACGCACACAGGTAATACAAATGACAATACTTTTAATTCAAATCGTTACCAAGAGAATTAGTTTAGGGTGAACAAAGTCCGAAAGAAGTTTTTGAATCTTCCCTCTGATGATGAACAATCTGACCATGAACAAAATCGGAGCATGAATATCCACTGTCAGAATAGTTTATGACGAAACGGGATTTGTATGAAACAGTTAACAAGTGTTCTCAGGCTGTGTTATAATAGTTAAACTTCTAGTTGAAGCAAAATTATCCTAAAAAAATGAGTGTAAGTGATTTTCCGTTAAATCTATATTTAATATTTTGGAGAATCGAACTTAAAGAACTTCCACTGAATTCGATATTTCCTTACTTTAAGATGAATTGTGTTTCCTGCCCGAATCTACAGCTTTTAGAAACACCGATAAAGTGCAAACAAAGAATATTCAGCATGGATAAGATAAAAACGTAAAAAAAATATTCATCGTCATCTTTACATTATAGACTAGAGGATTGCATAAAGTTATCCTTCTTGGTTTCTTGTGTGCATACAACAGCGATAGAAAGTGAGAGAGACGTGAGCACTGATCAATTCTATTCGTGCTTGGTCTCCTATAACTGGTCAAATTAAAATCGCTGAAGAAACGGTAATAAAGAAAGAAAGTACGAAATTGTGTACGATATTAGGTAACTATGTGACACCAATTGTATACGTTTAAATAATACTTGGAGAAATAAAATAAAAAAGCATCGGAATTTATTACCGCTTTGGCACTGGATCAGCTAAAATATCTGCTGCAAGTTCAACAAGTGCCTCTTCCCATCCTAGTGGAATAGGTTGGTCGTCGGCAAAAGGATAGCTGGCAATGGATTACAGCTAAGTAAGTCGTCAACAACATAACGAGCAATTAAAATGAAAAAATAAAATAATAAAATAATAATTTACTTGTGAGCTTTGCAGGCTTCAAGAGCCATGATTGCTCTCCTCAAGTTTTGCTTTGATTTATTCGCAATATTAGCAGCGAACCTCGTTGATAATTCAAAACCTTCTTTTCTAGCAATCTGATTAAGAACTTCCATCACCTGGGTTGCATGAAAAAAATATATGAGAATTTGGAGATAAATGAGAAATTATTAATCTGGAAACCTACTTCATGAGTAGCAGGAGCTTCAACCGTAACAACTTTGCAGCGGTTCGTAACCGATTCAAGTACATCTAAATCATCTTCACAGCAAAGAATGAGTTTACAAGAATCCGAGTACCCATCCATTATCCATTTTATTAGGTGCTGCACATTCTCTGTGGCTTTATCGACGTCATAGAGAACCAATACTGTAATTAACCACAAAATTTGTTACTAAATTAGAAATACTGCAAAAAAAATATTCGGAACGGAGCATGATAAAACGGTTTATATGATTATGGAAGTTGACCTTTATAATCTGATTTTGTATCGACAGTGCTGATTTCAGGGGCGACTGCGTAATCTCTGCTTATTTGCTTCACTAAAGCTGTTAATGCAAATGCTGCTTTTGGCTCCGAGTGAACGTTGAGTTCCACGTGGTGAGGGCTTGAAGTTACAGGAACAACAACTTGCGTGGGCTTCGATTCCTGTTGATATTTATTGGAAGATGCATTTATGTCATTCAATTACGCTATCGGAAATATAAGACCATAAAATTTAAAAATGGAACTACTTATGTTTATACACATAAAACGGGGCGAATAGACATACCAGAATATGAAAATATCGTAAATTGTGAGATATCTGCAAAAATTAAAGGAATAGTCGGTAAATTCAGCTACTGATTCAATTATATTTTATAGAGTTATGCAAAATCGAATAAAACACGTACATTCCAAACGGGATCCCCATATATTTCACGTAGAAGAGCCATCGTCAGTGCCTTCTTACCCGAACCATGAGGTCCTTTCAGCAAAATGTGCGGAAATATTTCACTGGTTGCCTAATAACAAAGCAAAATCAAGAAATAAATAACGGGAATTTACAATAATAGCTTCTGTCTAAGTTATCATATAAATTTATCATTAGCTTGAACAGTACAGAACAACTTACAAGTTCTTGAAGAAACAGAGCTTCTTGCTTGTGGCAAGTGAACCCGATCAACGAAGCAGGCTGATGTTTATCAGCCCAAAACGGCCGCAAGCTCTCAACCACAATTGCCTTCTCGATAAACGAAGCTTCATCGAATGTCCGTTCTTTTTCCGATGATTTATGAAGCGATGTATTACAAGACCCTTTCTTGAGACAAGAAAACCACGCATCGCCCTGGCTTTTCCTTCTATTCTCAATGAACTTTTTCGTACTATCACTCGTCTTACCGCTCGAGTTACTCACCCTACTCTGTCTGCTCTCAGCAAAGCTAGAGTTTCGATGATTGGAACCAGGATTTCTGTTGACAAATCTAGTGGGGTCCACCCTTGTATTTTTCGTCGAGACAGCATTCTGAAATCCAGGATATTCCCTCGAAAAGAAAATGTCTCCAGGAGAAATGGAGTCGGTGCTATCAAAGTTCTGAACATGGCCACTCAATACTCGAGAAATCTGAGCATTTGCAACCATTTCATTCATTTCACCTACCGAGGGGAAACGATCGATTGGTTGCCCTCTTTCTCTCCGTCTTGCTCGAGGAGCAGATGCTCCCCTCTTGCTACTATTATTGAATGCATCAATTGGTTTACTCGAATCGTGATTATTATTCTGCCTATACGGAGAGATAAACCTCCTGCGTTCGGATATCGAGAAGGGACTTAAATTTTCTCTGTTGTTATCAGGACTGACAATCCTCCGCTCGGATTGCGAAAACAGACAAACATTATTACCACCGTCTACGCGAGGTTTATAGGGAGACCTGCTCGATTTTCTTCGAGCAGGACCTGAAAATGGAGGGTCCATTTGAAGCATGGTTGATGATGGCATCCTGGTCAGAGGACTCTTGTTGTTCCTAGTATGATCGAATCCCGTAATACCAGGTTGTTGTCTGATGTGGCGTCTGGGACTGTCGGGCCAATCAGTTTCGGTGTCGGATGGCTCGTAAACGTTTCTTCCTCTGTTGTGATGCTTTAGTGAAAACTCCATCTCTCACAGTCTTTTCGTCGAACACCTGGAGTGGGTACCCAAATATTGAGGCCTGAGAGAAGTTTTTGTTTCGAAATGTTGATTGAAATGATCGATGAAGTGAGAAAAAGAGAGGGTTGATTGTCGTCTGATTGAAGATTCCAAAATCTTGAGACAGACAGACAGAGAGTGATGTCTACGAGGATGAAACGTCGGAGATGACAATGAAAAAGTGCGGCGTGTTCACACCAGCAAAGGACAGCTAACGACGAATATGGATACAAACAGCATGCATGCAAATGCAAGCTTGTAAACAGCAAATATACAATGAAAGATAATTATTTTTATTTATTAATAATTAAATATTCAATGTCAAATATCACTTATTTATTAGTTCATTTTTGTATGCATTTTTTTCTAATCTGAATTCATGGGCGGCGCAAGACAATATAATTTGATCATTCATTTTTTTTTTTTTAATTTTCATACATAGATATACGAGTACGATAATAAATATAAAATCGATATTCGGAATTAAAATTCATAACCACAAATATGCACATTTCACACTTTTGCTGTGCTTTGAATTATATAACAAATCAAACTATCTATTGATACTGTTTCAAAAAAAAAAAAAAAAAAAGAGAAAAAATTATTGTTTCAAAAACTCTCTACATTATAGAGATATATACGTTGTTTATGTAATAATAAAAAGCCTAAAAGAAATGAAATGGTAAAGCTTTTTTAAGACAAGTTGAGTGGCTTAATATCTCTGGAACGAACGTATGTTAGAAACTGAGACGGCAATTCTTCCAATAGTGCCTGAACCACTGAGATCTCTCCACCTGCACAACAACAAATTAAAGTATTCGATTAGTTGAGTTGAGAGTATTCGAACAATGTTTCCAAAAAAAATCCGAAATATTGATTTGTGTTTGAACTATATTTCTGCAGACTTACGATGAATTTCACGCATCGGAACAAACTGAACAATGTCTCGTGTTGCTATCCTTCCCGTAGAGCATTCCAATCGTTGTCCCTTGTCAGCATCAAGTATCTAAATATTCCACAATATATACATCAAATAATATATAATAACAAGAAAAACAAAAACAAAAAAAAAATTACATTTCGTGATAAATAAAAAAAAACATATATATATATATATATATATATATATATATATATATATATATATATATATACCTCCATGTCCTTGAAATCTGCACCACCTACTCCAACAATAAGTATCGAAAGCGGCAAATCAGAAGCCCTAACAATCGAGTTAATTGTTTCTTGAAGATCAGAGACTACACCATCCTACAAAATTCAGATAATATATTATTTATTTACCAAATTATTAGAATATTATAACAAAAGCAGCAGCAATTATATTTAGCTCAAATTGTCGTACCGTGATAATCAGCAAGACGTAGTACTTGGCGTGGTGTTGAGAGAGAGAGTGACCGGCAATATCTGCAGCCTTGTTTATGACTGGCCCGAATAGTGTGGGCCCAGCTAGAGCCACGTTGTACAATGCGCTCGTGTAAGCACCCATTATACCTTCCACACCTTCAACCTAGTAAATTAACAAAACGGATCTTTAATGATGCTCGATCCTTAACTAGAATATTTTAATATATTTTAATATATTAATTACCTCACAATCGGATACACTTCCATTCAAGTTGAAACAGTGAGATACTGAAGCATTGGGTATTCTTCCACCGAATCCCCAAGCAGGAAAACGTCTGTCTGAATCGTAGAATTGTATCACCTCTCCAATCTCCATTATTGCCTACAAACGAGTTTTTGCATTATTTAATATCTATAACCCGAATGAAGATTCAAAACTATATTTGTACCAAACATGTCGTGATTGTTCAGACAGATGTGTTACCTGCTGATAGGCGTTTCTCTGACCTGAAGGATCAATGTAATGCAAAGAATTTGCATTTCTCGGATTTCCATTGGAAGCTGGAAAAAAAAATCGGAAGCATGCACATTATCAGGAAACTTCTAGAACCATCTAGAAAGTAGAAAAATTCAAGATTAGGTGGAAGGCTGGGTTAATTACCTGTAAAGTCAACAGCAACCATGAAACTAAGTTCGAATCCACTGGAAACGTAGTCGAGAAAGCTGTAGAGTTGTTTCTCCTCATATCGGTCGACAAAAATTTCACCCTTGAGAACCTAAACCGAGTATAAATGTCAATAGATTTTTAAACAAAATTGAAACCTAAGTTGCAATTAGAAGATTAATTTAAGGGTTGTGTAAAAACCTTTTCGTGATGTCTGAATCCGGAAGATGGGGAGATGAAATGTGCACTGGCTTTACTTTGGTAAAGGGTTTCGAGTTCTGCCATTGATTTCTGTACTTTTCTGTTTGAGGTAGAACCAGAAAAAACGATGAGCCGAAAACAACTTTATTACAAGAAAACATGGAAATTAATAGAGTGTGTAAATATGTACCCAATTAGGGGATGTTTTCCACTTGTATCGAAATCAAAACACTCAATCATCAATGGGTTCTCCTGCAAATAAAGTTACATATTTAGTTTATTAACAGACAAGATCAAATGCCGTAAAACGGTAGACATATAGAAACATACAAATATCGTCGCATGTAATTTATTACCTTGCTGATAAATTGTTGCATGGTTAGACAAACTGGTCTCCAAGTAGGGTTCAAGTTGTTGTTCACGACTTCCGTCTTGCAAATGGGAAGAAAACCTCCCGATTCAATTGCCCTTGAGATTCTTAAGAAAGGATCCTGAGAAAATTAAGTCCATAATATTAAGCCCAAGAAACCAAAATAATAATAATAATAATTAAATAATTAGTTGAAAAATACGTACACTTTTCGAAAACAGATCCTTGTTCTGTAGAGCCGAACAGCGAAACGTGATCTCCACAGCGTTCCTCGAAGCAACAGTTTCCTCTGACTGGACAGTAAGTGTCCCCATTTTTCTTGAACTAATTTGTCCGTTTATGTTATTAATGTTTAAGGTTATAGTTTGATTTCGTTTCGTTACAATCTGCCATGCAAAAAAAATTCAGAGAAATGTCACGCCACAAAATTATCCAAAAAGTATAATCGAAAACAAATAGATTATTCATTATTGCTGTATTTAAACAACACTCACCTCAGAGACAACACAACTAGCTTCACCGAGGAAATCTTGATCTTCCAACTTCAACGTCTGCAAAATCGACCAAATTAATTTCGAAACTTTTTGACAAAATGCTAAATTTTAACAATGAAACGAGTAAGAAGATAATAGAGCATATATATACCTTCACAGGTAGATTATGATACTTGGTGTCCACGTCATACACGCGAAAGCTGGAACAAAACAATTAGATTATAATAAATATAGATTAAAAAGAATATTAATATATGAATGTGTAGGACAATCGAAAATGTATATAGTGACGATGTACATCAATGGTTGAACAATCTCAAACTGGTAAGTAACGTTTATCTTCTGAATCCAAATAGGGTCTAAGTTGTTCATTATAACTTCGGTGCGGCCAAGTTCTTCAAGCTTTCCATCTCTTTTCTTCATGTAAACGACTGCCATTGGATCACTCTGCAATAAGTAAGAATATGAGGCCCCATATTGAAATTTTGAAATTCACAGAAGATATGATGAAGAAGTTTAAGTATGACGTCTTGGTTTACCTTTGATGTAAAATCACGATCAAGTAGCTTTGAAGCTGATAGAGACAACTGCAGCACACAAATATAAAGTAAAATGTCAAATTAAATACAATGTAGAAGAGTGAGATGAAAATCCAAATAGAATCAGGATTAACTTTTAAATAATGAGATTAAAATTAATCCAACAAGTGTTGTTAGGGTCATGATTAAGATAGCATGCATGTTGTGTGTTGTTGCAAACTCTGTATTTTAATTAATTTTGATCATCAGATGATTTTGATGAGTTAAAAAGTAGAAAAGATTATTTAAATGGGAATACAAAAGTCAAAATAGAGGATTAGGAGTTGACTATGAAATCAATAGGCAACCAAAAAAAAAAAAAAAACAAAGACCCCACCACACCACCAACATAGGTACAAAAAGCAAGAAATTGTATTTTTAGTAACCTGGATTGGGGTGAAAAGGGCTTGTTCACCTCTAGCCCTGAAGAAATAGTCAACGGCGTCGTTGGGTCCATCGCCGGCGGCGGCGGCGGCGGATGTTGTGGCCTGAGCCCTACCACCGACAGCCTGCTGACCGCCCTCTATATCGGAAAAGCAATTCCCCATTATTTACTACTAAATTAATGTCGTTATGTGTATCTCTGAGTTGTTTGAAACAAAAAAGAAGAAGAAGAAGAAGAATTTGTGACTCTGAAATCTGAATTGAATTGTGATTCTAAAACCTGTTTGTTTAATTCTCTATTAAATACACAATTGGGGGGAAAGAGAAAACGCGTATTTGTACCGGAAAATTGAACGGGTAACCTTTATCTAAACATGGAAACAACCACTGGTATTATTATTAGGTGGCCGGTTCCATGAAACTTCGATTTTCATATATATATATATATATATATATTTTTTTTTGTACAAATTTGAACACGGGAAGACTTCTTTCCCAACTAATTTTCCTCAGTTAGTTTTTTTTTTTTTATTTTTTTTTGAACAATTGCCCAGTTTGTTATTTATTATTATGTGCTAAAGAAGACTCACTCGGTATTACTATTATTTATTATTCTTTTCTTTACTTGTTGATTAATATTTGAATACTATAATCTATATAAGAAACTTAACATTTATTTCTTGGTTTTATTGTATCCATACTTTGGTGGTGTTTGCAACAAAATTTTTAAAATAGATTACAAGCTTTTTTTTGGGCTCATCATAATTTATTTCAAGGTCTTTACAAAATTGACTCTTGTTTTTTATTCTCTTGAGATAAACTGTTTTAAGTTGTTATTTTAAAAGCAACCATTAACAGTGGCGGAGCCAGGATTTGTGGACAAGGTGGGCTAAAATTTTATGGGGGGTTCGGAGGTAGAGCCCCTAAATTTTTTTAAGAGTTTTTTTCGAAAATATAGAACAAAATAAATAGAAATTTGTATATTTTAATTAAATTCTATAAATTAAATTGTATATTGTCCAAAATATAATTATTGGAGCTCTTTAAACTACATTACAAATTTCTTGGGTGGGCTACTTAAATTGGATTATGATTACATAATTAGCATTAAAATATTGAAAAAAAATAAAAAATCAGGGTGGGCTTCAGCCCACCCACAACTCCACGTAGCTCCGCCACTGACCATGAACCGACTTTTTTAATTTAAGTTTATTTTCAAACATATTTACAAACATCTCCAACTTCTAGAAATAAACACTTAAAACCAATTTAAATCACAATCACAAACTTTTACTTTTAAATAAGTTTTCGCAAACACAACATTAATCTTGTTCCCAAATCAAAATGACTATTATAATACAATGGAGCGTTCTTGCAACAAAATTATACAGTAGAACCTCGATAAATTTATACCTGATAAATTAATAACATCGCTTAAATAATACATTTTTCCGATCCCGACTCGGGGACAACGTGCTAAATTAATATTTCATTAAATTTATAAGATAATGCACATTCAAAAATTTTAAGAAGCCTTATATAATATATAAATTAATAATTCATAAAACTAATTCTTAAATTACATGGTACAATATATATTTTATAGATCTATGAAGGTTTAATAAAATATAATTTAATTGCCGTTTGTTTCTTGTTGAAGCTCTCACATTACCATCAATCTCGTGCCTCACTTTTCTTAATATGGTTAGAACTTTTGGTATAACTTTTGCATAACTCAACATGAAATTGTTCAATACCGTTGCTGCTTTAAGAGCTTCCGTTCGTGAAACGATCTCTATAGTGCATTGAACTAATGGACAATGAATAATATACACGTAAACAGTTAAAAGAATGTATATATTGAAAATAATAATAAAAATAATTTCATAAATTAATAAATTATTAATTAATATATAAATTAATAATTATTAATTTATTGATAAGTTAGTATTTTACTAAATTAATGAAATTTTGATAGTTCTAACTGTATTAATTTATAAAGTTTAACTGTATATGATTATGGGCCCAAATCTATCAAGACCCATAAAACAAGAAGACTTGTAACAAAGTCAAGTCAAACCAAAATCAAAAGGTGACGTCACACTTCTGACGTCATATTTATAGTTCAATATGGATCAGGTTCATGACTTGGGGAAATTACATATGAAGAGAATTGTAAGCCACGCAAGAAATTTTGTTTCTCGTACGTATGTGGAAATAAAAATGGAGTCTTGGTAAATATTAAATAATCATCACTTCACAACAAAAATCATATATATATATATATATGTAATATGATGATCACAAATTGCAGACGTACACACGTGACGTGATGCTCATCAATGGCGAAAGCCAAGACTTAGCTTGGTATATGAACTAAACAAATATGTTACCAACCAATAATTTGGTTCATAAAGCTTGAGGTAAAATTGAGAGCCAATCCAACAAGGCCTTATTCACAAGCTCTGGAACTTCATCGTGCGGACAGTGCCCTGCCTGTAGATTTACTATCGAACTGTTTGGATAGAATTCTTTTATTCGAACAGCTTTAGCGGGACCCATCCATGGATCCAACTCACCCCATACTAGTAGCAACGGGCAAGATAGTTGGCTCAGTACACTGTCGAGCGTGTACTTTCTTTGATTCGACATAAATCTTGTCATTAATCTGCATATTAAATAGTTCGACCCAATAACTTATTCCGAGATATGTGGTAAATTTAGTCCAGAAAATGCAAAACAAGGGCAACATTTGACACACACATATATATATATATATCATACATGCATATATATTTGAAAAATCAATGTAATAAATCGAGTTCAAACAATCCGAGTATATATACCTGTAATAAACTTCCCCAGCATTTGGGTCATCTGCAGGCTTTGTAATGGATTCGATGAGATAGTCGTCCACATTCGAAGAGTTAGTATATACCTGAATAAATAGAGATTGAAATTTTATTAAACAAGAAAAGGAAAGAAATATTGTCTTATTGTTGTTATGTCTCACTATATCAGCAGATATAGCAATAATTCGAGTTTTTCTATATTATGTTGTATCGCGTAAAACAGATTACGTTCTACAGTTAGCAATCTTCAATCTTCGTTAATAAATTGCACGAAGAAGACTTGTATTTATTTACCAGAGAAGGCAGAACAAATACGTACTACGCCCAAAAAGAAAAAAAAAAAGACAAGGTTTTAAGGTTGTATTAGCTCCAATGAAGTAACACGTACACTTTTCAAGACAGACTCGACACGAGCTGGTTGCTTGGCTTGCCAAAACAAAAACCCGAGTACCGCGCGTTGAAAAATATCTTTGAGTGGCTTCAGAATATACTTTTGCAAGACGTTTTCTTCGGACTCGTTAGGTGAAGGCATGGCGTCACCGAATTGTCCAGCACTGTTTAGTAATACAACACCTTTAACTTGATCCTGCAGCGATTCTGCAGCTATCAAAGCAGTAAATCCCCCTAAACTGAAACATCAATTATGGAATGCAATTCATGAAAACATATATACACATATGTATATATAGGATTACAGCATGAGATTATAAGTAGAGAAAAGGGAAATTATGACATGCCTATTTCCGACTAAAACAGCAGGTTCTTTAACAATCTCCTTGACGAAATCGACAACTTGATCTCTCCATACAAGGGCATCGTAGTCAATAAGGGCCTTCTCGCTCCATCCAAACCCTAGCAAATCTACTGCGTAGACCTTATACTTTTTTGCCAGCTCGGGTATGTTGTACCTAAACAAGAGTGAATCATGACACAGGTGATCATATCCTTCAAATATTAGGTTTTACAAAATTCAGAATTAGTTGTAATCGAAGAGACAACGAACCTCCAATGAAAAGCAGAAGCCCCAAAACCATGAATAAGAACAATGGGGGAACCCTCCCCTTGGACTACGTAATGTATTTTTCGATCTCTCCACGTCCAGTAATTATACCCCTCTGGTTTAAACACTAATTTCTCCAAACCACCTAAGGGTGAGATAAATATTAATTAACTAGCTAGCACAAAATCCAGAAATAAATAAAATGAATGAATGAATGAAGCAGAGAAATGTGCCTTGTGATTTTGAGGGTTCTGCAGCAACAGTAGAAGCCATAGCCGAAGCTCCAGCAACAACAATTCCTTTAAACGCAAAATCCCTCCTGCTAAAACCACATATGCTGCTGCTCCCTTCACATTTTCGAATTCCATTTCAAACCAAAAATTTAGATTTTCAAATTAAAATAAAAAAATCGACAAATTGCTGCCCCCAAAATAAAAAAAAGAAAAAAAAAAATAGAGCTTACTGTGATTATGATGATGAGGTCTTGAGAAATCAAACTTGAGAGGATTGGGCAAAGTGGAGCATGAAGTTGACATTGTGTATAGAAATCAGAGGGGAGTTGCCTAATTATGATGAAGTCAGTTAGTTTGAGCATAAGAAGATAATTGGGGAAGAAGAGGTGAAGAAGAAGAAGAAGATTCTGTTCATCAGATTATATTCGTGGGAAATTATTTGCCTCTAATTTTTATTTATTTATTTAATTAATAATGAAAAATGTAAACGTTGAGTGGATGTAGAAGTTGTGGTGACACTCCTCTATGCAACTAACGCCTTTGCCTTCCGTCCAAATTATTATTCAATCTTTTATTTTCACAAATTAATTAATTTTTTGGGGACAAAATATCTCTTCACTAGGAAACACGTGAAAATGACAAAACTTTCAAGTTTCAAATAATTGATGTATCAATAATTCAATTCATAAAATCATAACTTTATTTTGAACTTTCTTGTTAATTAAGAAACAATTTTAACAAATAAAATCAATTTTACATGACATATACACCGCATGCGAAGTTAAATACTACATCCGGCTATTTACACCAGGTGATTTTGAACAGTAGATTTGGTTAAATTACTATCCACTAAGCACACACATAAACATTGGTGTGTGAGTGATTATGTGTAGAACTACGGTTCAAATTCACCCAGTATAAATCGATTTTGTTTGGATTTGCTTTCCAAAATATAACCATTAGATGTTATTAGCCCATGCATTAATATATAACATACACTTCAATAGAAAAGGAAAAGAAGCATTGCACCTTTTGCCCAATTAAATATATATATGCATGGTTTGATCCATTCTATTATTTTACACACTAATTGAATAAAATAAAAATAATTAATTAAGTAATGTGAGAGGGTTACAAGATCTATATGTTTTTACTTTTTATTAAATGTTGATTTATATGCCTATAGAAATCAGTTGATCTAAGTTGTAACAGTTAAGTTGTGGAAACAGTATTTAGTTACAACTGTAAATCTTGTGTTGGCACAGTTATATTCTACTTAAAGTAAATAAACAGAACACAAGAATTAATGTGGTTCAGACACAATTGTGCCCTACATCCACGTGGACCTGCAAACACGATTTCACTAGTTCAGATTTACAATGTACATTAATAGGACTTATTAAAAACACTAAAGACTCCCTCTTTATGTAATATGCCGTTCTTGTACACAACTCGAACTTCGTGTTTCTTCCAACAGCAGCTCCACACCGCGTGCCTAGAACTCCTTTCTGGCCTGAACTCCCTTCAGTGACGCGGTTGATCTCCCAAGAGATCTATACAGCCAATCTGTATAAGTTGACACATCCAACGATGGCACAGTTCTGTTCAGCAGAACGTTTCAGCGATTCTTCAAAGCAACGGAGTGATTTTTCTCCCAAAAAAAAGTGTCACGGTCTTTGTGAGGTGAGGAGCCTTATATAGGCGTGAGATGGGCCTCCAAAGACCTGTCTTCCAAAGGAATCGAATAACTAGGAAACAAAATCCTAGTCAATATCTAGTTCTAATCTAGATAGCCATAAAAGATTCCTAACAAGAATGAAGTACTAGGAAATAAATCTAAGTCCTAAAGTATTACAAAGGTAGGACTCTAAATTTCCAAAATAAACATGGGAACAAATCTTTAGCCAATCTTTACTTCCCAAGTGAGGCGGATTTCTTCCTTCGTGGAAATCTGGCGCCAACAATCTCCCCCTTTGGCATAGATTTGGTCAGAACCCATGTTTAACAAAAACTCCCCCTGCAGATAAGACGGAAAGAGAAAAGACTCCCCCTGCATCACAGACTGTTAGCACTCCCCCTGCATCACAGACTGTTAGCACATAACATCACATACTGTTAGCACAGTAGCAGTGCTACTTTAAGTATTTCCTGCAGTGAGACAAATAAAAGAGATATAGAATCACTCCAAAATTAACTCAAAAAGTAGTTATCAATGCAGATAAAGAGATAACATATAGAGTCAAAGATGCAAAAAGAAAATAATACTAGCTATTACAGACCAGAAGTAATAGCAGATAGTTTTTAAGAAAAAAAACATGAAAACGAAAAACATAAATCTCTGCTTTAGTAACTAAAGCCAGAGAACAAATCATCATCATCACGAGAGCTGGGCTGTGGAGGAGTGAGGAGGGATGCCTGCTTTTTGCCTTTATCTTTGGTCTTGGTGGAAGCCGCAGGAGTTGGAGTTGTTGCTACTCCCCCTTTCTGACCAGAATGTGCCAAAGTCCTAAGCAGCTGATGCTGAATAGAGGCAAACCCTTGAGCGAGCTGAGCCTGGATAGACTCCTGAAAACGAGTGAGCTCATCCTTGGTGACCACATCAACCGGCGGCGGAATAGAGGCAGAGACAATTGGAGCCTTCTTCGCACGAGGGACTGTCTGAACAACAGAAGGATCGACAGGAGGCAGATCAGCAAAATGTTCAGAGAGGACCTTACCGTGGATAGTAATTGGACGGCCAGGTGGGTCCAACAGGGTGGCATCACGAGTAGGCAGGCCTTGTTTGATCAGAAGCTGATAGATCAGAGAAGGAAATGGCAAATGCTCACGCTCAGTGCGGGAATTGGCTAACGCACCAATCTGATTGAAAATCAGTTCACCAATATTGATCTTGAGGTCGTGAGTGATGCACCATAAGAACTCAGCTTGGGTTGGATTGAGAGTAGCATTGTGAGTAGTGGGAAACCAATTTGAAATGCCTATCTTAAACAGGACCGAATAAAGCTGAGTCAGCTTAGAAACATGAAAAGAGGATTTCGGACCGGGCCATTTCTTTAACACTTTGCCAGTGAGAACAGAGGCCATAGAATCTTTTGAAACAGAGGGTTTGTGAGACACCTCGTTTGGACATTTATAAAACTCATTGATCAAGGCAGGAGTCACAGAAAAGAAGGAACCCCTCACATACACTTTCCCATACCCACGAGACCCCTCAACAGAAAAACGATCAGACAAATTTGCATAAAACTCAACAATGGCAGACCTTTCGAAAGGTTGTGCACTCACAATAGTGCCCAACAACCCTTGAGATTTAAGAAGACGGAAAATCCCAGACAAAGCTAACACAGCCCTAGACAAAACACGCTCAGGAGAGCACGCACGCTTACTCATACTATCCCAATTTTCTTTAGCAAGAGCGGAATAAAAGAGGTTTGAGAAGCAATTACCAGCAGAGAGTTGAGAGCCCACAGATGAATCAGAGGATTCAGAACGCAGAGGGTCATCCTCAGGAATAGGCTCAGAAGAAGAGGATTGTTGACCTTCAGACACGGAGGCAGGAGTGGAGACAGATGGGCCTTCGTGTTTTCGATTAGAGCGGCGGAGTTGAACAGGAAACTCAACATGGCGGGGGGTAACCTCTGGATCTGAGGGCAGATCATCTTGTGGGGTTGCAGAGAGGCTATCACCGTCAAGAGCAGTCACGCCGGTGTCAACATGGTCAGGCACATCACTAGTCTTGAGACTTGGTGAAGGGGAAGCCACTGGAGTAGAAACGGGGTCCAGATCTGTGGTGACAGGAACAGGAGAGACATCCACAACAGTAGGACGGACTTTCTTTGAGGATTTTCTGGACTTCTTCTCAGCGGGCGAGGCAGATGGAGTGTGGCGTCGCTTCTTGGAGCCCTCAGCAGATCGATTCTTGCCCATGGTGAATAGAGAACACAGAAAGAAAAAAAAAAGAAAATAAAAAGGAACGGCGGAAGAAAAGAAGAGGAAGAATAAAGTGTGAGAGGCAAACCCTAAAAGAGGCGGATATTTAAAGCACAGGGACCGAGAAAATAGGCAGAAAAAGAGAGGACTCTTCGGATACTGGATATTTTCAAATCAGAATAAGATCCCACAAAATCCGCCACCAATAACAAGCAAGATATTCTCCACACGAAACATCAGAAAAGAAAGAAGGCAGATGACATGGCTATAGCCACGTGGCCAGAGACAACTAGAGCCAAAAATTCACAAAGCCCAAAACAAAAATTTTAAAAATTTTAAACAAAAATTTTTAAGGAAAAGAAAATCAAGATGATCACAAGACTAAAAATTGAGGGGTTTGGTTTTCATGAATTAATTAGATAATCTTAAAGAGAATCACAATAGAAGGCCACCAAACAAGCTCTTGGATGCACGATATAACTATAACCCCATAACCATACTCAAGAAATCATAATTTAGGTAATTTTTAAGGGTTATGAATGCGTATGCGATTAGCACAGCAATTCGATCGTGTACTTCAAGAAGAATTTCCTAATATATGCTTGAATATCATCCCAACCTCTCCTCTTTTTTTTTTTTTTTTTTTTTTTTTTTTTTTTTTTTTTTGTTTTTTTTTGAGTATGAACTAATTTTTCTTCTCCTCCCTTTTTTTTGTTGATATGATGTTCAAGCAGACATTAGGAGGGCAACCTTCTTAAGAATCCACATAGCTTTTAAATAGAAGTCAGAGATGCATATGCGGTAGCATAATTCTCCCAATAGAGGTATGATCTTTGAGATGAATGAGGTCATAGTCATTGATCACTCCCGATAGAGGGGGCAGCACACTTCTATCATGGTTGTCTGTGGAAACAAAAATTAATTCACAAAAACTAACACACAAACAATTAGTCAAAATGAACCTCCAATCATTCCTAGTCCAAGAACAGTGATGTCACATTTGTAGGTGACACATATAATGTCCGATTAAAGAATTCAAGTGCAATCCGGACACAAACTCTAATTGCACTTATCATAGAAAATTCAGTTTTGCACATGGCAAATCCCAAGCGCTTTACGCAAGGAATCAAACCTAAGGAAATCAAGGGGCTTTGTAAAAATATCAGCTAATTGATTGTCTGTGGACACATAATCTATAGTCACACGTTTCTGCTCAACTAATTGCCTGATGAAATGGTGTCGAAGATCTATGTGTTTGGTTCTAGAATGCTGGACCGGGTTTTTTGAGATATTTATGGCACTTTCATTATCGCAGAATATATGAAGGAGTTTTTCATGAAAGCCATAGTCATTCAACATATGTTGCATCCAAAGAAGTTGAGTGCAACAGCTACCTGCAGCTATGTACTCAGATTCAGCTGTTGATAAAGAGATGCAGTTTTGTTTCTTACTGTACCAAGATACTAGGTTGTTTCCCATGTAGAAACAGCCTCCAGTAGTACTTTTTCTGTCATCCACATCTCCTGCCCAGTCAGCATCACTATATCCTGCAAGACAAGTATTAGTATCTTTCGAGTACCATATCCCTAGTTCAAGAGTTCCACTCACGTATCGTATGATGCGTTTGACTGCACTTAAATGACTTTCTTTAGGATTTGATTGGTACCTAGCACATACTCCTACACTGAAACAAATGTCAGGTCTGCTAGCAGTAAGATAAAGTAAACTTCCAATCATACTCCTGTATAATGTGGGATCCACGTCTGTGCCCTCACAGTCGCGTCCCAACTTTTCAGTAGGACTCATCGGAGTTTTTAGAGGCTTTGCATTATCTAACCCAAATTTACTTACCAGATTCTTGGCATACTTGCTTTGTGTGATGAAAATTCCATCCTTCATCTGCTTTACCTGCAAGCCAAGAAAGTAAGTTAGCTCTCCAACCATACTCATTTCAAATTCGTTTGACATTTGAGAGATAAATTCATCTTTCTTGTGGTCAGATGTAGACCCAAAAACAATATCGTCCACATAGATTTGAGCCAAAAGGATTTCGTTTTTAAAATTTTTGACAAATAGTGTTTTGTCTACCCCACCTCTTCTATATCCTTTTTCAACTAGAAAGGTCGTAAGTCGCTCATACCAAGCCCTAGGGGCTTGTTTGAGACCGTATAGGGCCTTTTTAAGTTTATAGAGGTGTTGAGGCTTGAGTGGATCTTGAAAACCTTTTGGTTGTTCGACGTACACTTCTTCATTTAAAAGACCATTTAAAAACGCACTTTTTACATCCATTTGGAAGAGTTTAAACTTTAAAGCACAAGCAACTGAGAGTAAAAGACGTATTGACTCAAGACGAGCTACCGGAGCGAATGTTTCATCAAAATCTACTCCTTCAATTTGGGTGTATCCTTGAGCAACAAGACGAGCTTTGTTGCGAGTTATATTACCAAGTTCGTCCGTTTTGTTTTTGAACACCCATTTTGTACCTATAACGTTTACCTGGTCGGGTCGTGGAACAAGTTCCCACACTTCATGTCGAGTGAACTGCTCAAGTTCCTCTTGCATAGCTTGTACCCAATATTCATCAAGAATTGCTTCTTTGATGTTTTTTGGTTCTATAGTAGAAGTATAACACACATACCTGACCATTTCTTGGTAATCAACTTTGGGCTTATTTCGAGTTTTCATACCTTCATCAACTTCTCCTATCACCTGTTCAGAAGGATGATTCTTTACAACTCGTTTTGATGGTCTTTTTCTTTCTTCTGTGTTTTCCTTCACTGTTGTCACTCCTTCTGTGCTTTCTTTCACTGCCGTCACTTCCTCTGTGCTGATGACTGGCGTTTGTACTGGTACAATGGTTTTTCCAGGATTAGAGTCTTCCTCATCCATTCCTGCAGATAAAACTTCGTTAAAGGTTACATTAATGGATTCCATAACAGTCATTGTACGTTCATTATAAACGCGATATGCCCTGCTGTTTAAGGAATAACCAAGAAAGGTACCTTTGTCTCCTCTTGCAGAGAACTTACCGAGTTGTTCTCTATCGTAGCATTCACACCCAAAGACATGAAAGTAACTTAAGTTCGGTTTCTTACCTTTCCACACTTCATATGGAGTTTTCTTTGTACCTGGTCTGAGGTGTACACGGTTTATGGTGTAGCAGGCAGTGCTCATAGCTTCAGCCCAGAACTTTGTGGCCACTCTTGCTGAGATGAGCATTACGCGAGTCATTTCTTGAAGAGTTCTGTTCTTTCTTTCTACCACACCATTCTGCTGTGGTGTCTTTGGTGCTGAGAATTCGTGGGAGATACCGTGTTTATCACAAAATTTTGTGAATGAAGAGTTTTCAAATTCTCTCCCATGATCGCTTCGAATTCTTCCAATATTGCTGAATTTTTCAATTCGCAATTTCTTGCACAGAGTTTTGAACTCATAGAAGGTATCTGACTTTTCCCTGATGAAACGTACCCAAGTAAACCTTGAGAAATCATCAACACAAACTAGAACATACCTTTTTCCACCAATGCTCTCGGTTTGCATTGGTCCCATTAAGTCCATGTGAATGAGTTCCAGGGTCCTGCTGGTCCCTGCACGATCTGTGTTCTTGTGAGATGTGCGTACTTGTTTTCCCAGAGGACAGTCACCACATGACTCTGGTGTGTCAGTCTTCAGTTGTGGTATTCCTTTCACACAACCTGTATTAACAAGACGAATTAGATCATGAAAATTTAAATGACCTAGTTTCCGATGCCAGAGATCAGTGAGATCAGAAGAAGTGTGATGACATTGATCCGATTTGTCAATCTGATCAATTTTGTAGCAATTGTCTGATGACCTGTATCCGGTTAAAACACAATTTTTGCTTTCATCAAATACTTCACACTTACGCTTTGTGAACAATACAGAGTCGTATAGATCACACAACTGACTTACACTCAGAAGATTTGATTTCAAACCTTCCACATACAGAACATTGTTCAAGTTTGGCAATCCTCCAACATCTAAGTCTCCCTTTCCCTTTACATAAGCCTTATTTCCATCTCCAAAAGTAACCTGTCCACTAGACATGTTATGTAGATTTGATAAGAAATTCCTTTCACCTGTCATGTGTTTGGAGCATCCACTGTCAAAATACCAAGAGTTAGTAGCACATGCATTTAAAGATAAAATAGCAGACCAGCAGTTAGTACTATCATTTGTCATCCTTTGTTTATGAGAGTTGTTACTTTGAGAGTAAGTAACCCACGCAGCGGATTTGGATGTCTGATATGCTAACTGTTTATTTATCAATTTCCATCTTTTAAAGCATTTAGGCCTGACATGCCCTATTTTGTGACAGAAGTGACAGATAGGAATAAACTTAGTAGGATGGGTTTGGTAATTCACACAAGAAGATGTTGAATTGACAAATCTGATTTTATGGTTTGACCCAGTGTTAGCACTAGATTGTCCATCAGTATACCCTAACCCAATTCTTTTGGAATTGGAAGGATGAGCATTTATGATTTCATCTAATCTATTTGAGGGAAGAAATGCAGTGCGATTTAACTTACTGACAGTAGCATCAAACATTGTGCTAACAGGCTGTGTAACATCTTGGTGATCATTAGCATGCACTTTTGGAAAAAGATTTTTCCTCATTCTTTTTGCTCTTTCACCATCATAGTCCTGCCAATATTTCAACAAATCTTTGAGATTGTCGATGTCTCTTTGTGCAAAGTCCTGTTCCACTTCAAAGACTTCAATCTCCATCTCTAGTTCATCAATCCTGTCATTCAGTTTTGTGACAACTCCTTTGTTTTCTTCCTCTTGTTCTTTGATTCTTTCTTTCAGGAGTTTATTTTCATTACGAACTTCATGACATTGCTTCAGGAGATCATCCAATTGTTTTTGAAATTGTTGGATGGACTCTTCACTTTCATCTTCTGATTCGTCACTTCCTGTGGACAGAAAAGACATATTTAGATTTTCATAATTTTCATTTTCCTGTGTGACATACCTGAGATGTGGCGGTTCTGTGCATGTGATGTCCTCAAGTGTGGCTTCTGTGATTCTGCAAGTTCCACAGAAATCATTGTTTGTATCATCGTCACTAGCTTCACTTTCATCATCAGACTCTGAGGTGTCATCACTCCAAGTTGTGGCAAGTGATTTTCCTTGTTTTTTCAGAGTGTTAGCACATTCTGCTTGGATATGACCATAACCATGACATTCTCTACATCGAATTCCCTTCTTGACCTCTGGCTTGTCTGTAGAGGTTCTGGGTTTTCTCTCAAAGTTTGTAGGCTGTCCATTTCTCTTGATGAATCTCCCGAAATTTTTTGCTATTAAGGACATGGATTTTGTGAGCTTGACTTCAAGTGCTGACATAGGAGCAGTAGGCACAGATGTTGTGGTGTCTGATACAGACTGCAGGGCAATTTTCCTTTCCTTGTCCATTCTGCTGATGTTCAACTTGTTTTCAAAAGTTTGTAGATTTCCAATCAGATCCTCAAGTCGTAATGAGTCCACGTCACTTGCTTCCTCTATGGCAGTGATCTTGTACGCGAATCTGTCTGGCATGGATCTGAGCACTTTTCGTACAAGTTTAACTTCAGGATAAGTTTCACCGAGTCCATGAGCTTCGTTTGATATGTCACATAATTTGGAGTTGAATTCGCTCACGGTCTCATTTTCTTCCATACGAAGATCTTCAAACCGGGTGGCAAGCATTTGAAGTTTGGACAGTCTGACTGAAGCAGTTCCCTCGTAAGCTGTTTGGAGTTTCTCCCATGCTTCTTTAGCACACTCACACGCAGAGATTATCTTGAATTGATTGATATCAATTCCATTGAATATAGCATTCAAGGCCTTGGAATTCATGTTTGCTGCAATTTGTTCGGCTTTGCTCCAGTCTTTCTCATGCTTCTCAGTTTCAATCCCTTTCTCATCTGTGGCAACGGGTCGCTTCCATCCAGTTAACACTGTTCGCCATGCATCTTCATCCATTGATTTTATGAACATCTTCATCTTAGTCTTCCAATAGGAGTAGTTGGTTCCCGTGAGTAGTGGTGGGCGAGTCGTGGAACCTCCTTCCATATGAGAACTCATAGTACCTACGAATAATAAATGGCAAATAAATCAAATTCCCAAAATCACACACTATGTATATCTAGTGAGAGGCTCTTGATGCCAATTGTTGATTTATATGCCTATAGAAATCAGTTGATCTAAGTTGTAACAGTTAAGTTGTGGAAACAGTATTTAGTTACAACTGTAAATCTTGTGTTGGCACAGTTATATTCTACTTAAAGTAAATAAACAGAACACAAGAATTAATGTGGTTCAGACACAATTGTGCCCTACATCCACGTGGACCTGCAAACACGATTTCACTAGTTCAGATTTACAATGTACATTAATAGGACTTATTAAAAACACTAAAGACTCCCTCTTTATGTAATATGCCGTTCTTGTACACAACTCGAACTTCGTGTTTCTTCCAACAGCAGCTCCACACCGCGTGCCTAGAACTCCTTTCTGGCCTGAACTCCCTTCAGTGACGCGGTTGATCTCCCAAGAGATCTATACAGCCAATCTGTATAAGTTGACACATCCAACGATGGCACAGTTCTGTTCAGCAGAACGTTTCAGCGATTCTTCAAAGCAACGGAGTGATTTTTCTCCCAAAAAAAAGTGTCACGGTCTTTGTGAGGTGAGGAGCCTTATATAGGCGTGAGATGGGCCTCCAAAGACCTGTCTTCCAAAGGAATCGAATAACTAGGAAACAGAATCCTAGTCAATATCTAGTTCTAATCTAGATAGCCATAAAAGATTCCTAACAAGAATGAAGTACTAGGAAATAAATCTAAGTCCTAAAGTATTACAAAGGTAGGACTCTAAATTTCCAAAATAAACATGGGAACAAATCTTTAGCCAATCTTTACTTCCCAAGTGAGGCGGATTTCTTCCTTCGTGGAAATCTGGCGCCAACATTAAATAATAATCATTACAAAATGAGGGTCACGAGATCTACTATTTATCAAGTATAGTATTTAAATAATAAAATGAAAAAAGAAAATCAAGAAAAATAAAAACAGCAGGTGGAGTGAATCTAGATAGAGAGAAAATCTAGACACCGATTTGCAGGTAAAATAATAACTATTTAAGATAAAATAAAAATAAAAAATACAAGTCAAGATTTAATCTCTCATTTCTCTCTCTCTCTCTCTCTCTCTCTCTCTCTTTCTTTCAGTCTTCTTCACCCCGCAATCAAAATCCAATTTCAAGATTCACGGCCGCCGGAAAACCCATAAAAAACCCACCACCAAACCATGTCGTCGTCAACTCCATCTCCGTCGTCGCACAGCCATAAGAAACCCACAGATGAAAACCAAAACGAAGATCAAAAAAACAAAGCACAACAAAAGCCGACACCAGAGATCAAGAAACCAACATTTTTCACACAGCACCCACAAAAACCCACATGGGTTCTCCCATACAGAACCCCATCTCTGAAAAGCCTCTACTCCATCGGCAAAAAGCTCGGCCAAGGCCAATTCGGGATCACCTTCCTCTGCACTGAGAAATCGACCGGCATACCCTACGCCTGTAAGTCTATACCCAAAAAGAAATTGATCTGTGTTGAGGATTACGAGGATGTTTGGAGGGAGATTCAGATAATGCACCATTTGTCGGAACACCCAAATGTAGTGAGAATAAAGGGTACTTACGAGGATAGTTTGTTTGTGCACATAGTGATGGAGTTGTGTGCTGGTGGGGAGCTGTTTGATAGGATTGTTCAGAAGGGGCATTATAGTGAAAGGGAAGCTGCTAAATTGATCAAGACGATTGTCGGTGTTGTCGAGGCTTGTCATTCTTTAGGTGTTATGCATAGGGATTTGAAACCCGAGAATTTCTTGTTTATTAGTGCTGATGAGGATTCTGCTCTTAAGGCCACCGATTTCGGCCTATCCGTATTCTACAAACCAGGTCATTTTCTATTTTCAGTGTTTTTTTGCGATATGTATTTCGATTAGTTGCTTGTATATGCGTGTTAGTGGTGTTTTGGGTGTTTTTCGGTATTTTCTTGATTTTTCTTGGGTTGTACAATGTGGTCGTTATCTTTATTTGTTTTATATCAATGATTGTGATGTTACTATGGAAACAGAGGCTTCATTTGTTGATGAATGCAGTATGTTGTTTTAGAAATCGGAATTTGACGTATTATTTTTATTTGCTTCGGTATGGTAGGTGGCTTGATTGCCCTGTTATTCTTCCTGCCATTAGTGCTTTTGAACTTTTAGTGTATGCTTTTTCTACCATTAATTGTGCACCTAACGAGTTTTTGTTGATATTGTTGTTTCTTTCTTTAATATGTTGGACAAGGAACATTGTTCTTGTTCATTACTTTATTTTTTTTAATTTTTTTTCTTCTGATTAATATACTTAGTATATCTTATCAGCCTCTGAAAATGCATAGTTTTGAACCTAATTTATGTATTTTACCTTATCATGTTTAGCTATTTGTGCAAGGGGAATGTTTTCTTCACATGCCCTTGCTTTTGTTGTGTTTTAGAGCATGTGTTTCTTATTCTTAAGTTGTTGTTTCACGTTTTTGCTTTTAACAAGTAAGTGAACATGCAAGTTTATTTAATCTCGCATAGCACACACGTTTGTACTTGTTAATCTTTTTTATTTCTAATTTGGAATTGCTTCGTATTTTCAGACGAAAGTTTCTCGGATGTTGTGGGGAGTCCTTATTATGTTGCACCTGAGGTTTTGCGCAAGCACTATGGACCTGAGGCAGATGTGTGGAGTGCTGGAGTTATCTTATATATTTTACTCAGTGGCGTTCCTCCTTTTTGGGCTGGTATATATATATATTATATCTTCTTCCCCTAATTTATTCACTATTTTTCAATTGGAATCTTGTAAATTTTTTTCTTTTTTTTTTTTGTGACTGCAGAAACTGAGATGGGAATATTCCGACAGATATTACGAGGAGCTTTGGACTTTGATTCTGAGCCATGGCCTATGATTTCGGATGTCGCCAAGGATTTGCTAAGAAAGATGCTCGATAGAAATCCCAAGACACGATTAACTGCACATGAAGTTCTGTGTAAGAAAGTTTTTATGGCAATAATATTTGAAGCACTTCATTTTTGAAACAATTGATCATTGCAGTTTGGCAAAATGAAATTTTGTTCTGTTTTCGTTTCTGTGCCAGGTCATCCGTGGATTGTTGATGACACAATGGCTCCAGATAGACCTCTCGATTCTGCAGTTTTATCACGCCTCAAGCAGTTCTCTGCTATGAACAAACTTAAGAAGATGGCTTTACGTGTAAGAATATATGCTGTCCTTTAATGATTTTTTTTTTCATATGTTGGCATCTATATATAGTATGTTTCTTGATGAGATAATATGATTTAATTATAAGTCTGACTTGTGTTCATATCCATGAAGTCTGACCTACACTGTATGATCTTTTTGGTGACGTTTGTTTTTTTTGGAATAATTTATTAACGCGATTCGTTTTGTAGGTGATTGCGGAGAGATTATCTGAAGAGGAAATCGGTGGTCTAAAAGAGCTGTTCAAAATGATAGATACAGACGATAGTGGAAGCATAACTTTCGACGAGCTCAAAGAGGGTTTAAAGCGAGTGGGCTCTGAGCTGATGGAGTCCGAGATAAAAGATCTTATGGACGCGGTAAGAGAAAATCTCTAAGAAAGACCCACACAAATTACGTATTTTACCCTCTGAAACTTGTCTGAAAATATAAAGAGTGGTTTCCTTTCCTTGTACTGGCAGGCTGACATTGACAACAGTGGGACAATAGATTACGGGGAGTTTCTTGCAGCCACTGTGCACTTGAACAAGTTAGAGAGAGAGGAGAATCTTGTCTCGGCTTTCGCCTTCTTTGATAAAGATGGTAGTGGTTATATTACCATTGATGAGCTTCAACAAGCCTGTAAAGATTTTGGTCTGAGCGAGCTTCATTTAGATGAGATGATCAGAGAGATTGATCAAGATAACGTAAGTAGTATCTCGTCTACTAATTAATTTTCCACGTCTTTTTAATTCAAGAAATCGGGTTCGTTTTAAGACAAAAAAAATGTTAATGTGAATGCAGGATGGACAGATAGATTATGGGGAATTTGCAGCGATGATGAGAAAAGGAAACGGAGGGATTGGGAGGAGAACAATGAGGACTAATGTTGATTTGGGGGAAGCGTTTGGATTAGGGGTTGCAGATAATAATAGTAAAGGAAGCAACTCGCAGACCTAAATTGGATTTGTCTACTCCGATTTTCCCTTTGATTTTTAATCCAATTTTGTCATAGCAATTACCCCCCACCCCCACTGAAGAAGCCTCTGTAAGGATATGCAAAACTTGAAGCTGTAGGTTAGATTTGCAAGAACAGATTGGTGTTTGCATGTATCTAACATACTGAATTGTATTCGGATTATTTCTGCCAAATTTTATATATAGCACAATATTATATACATGAGCAATATAATATGTAATAATGAATCAAAATGAAGATTTAAAGAAGATGATTTCATATATGCCTGATGTGAAAACAGAATAGTTCTTTATTCTTAGTGGATACAATTTTTGCTAGTGGTACAGGCAATGCATAAATGCAAGGGTATTTTCACATCTTACTGGTAGCTACAGGCAGGTATTTAGTGTGACGACCCTGAGCAATAAGTTTTCCAGTCTTTTTACTTGTGAAGTCGACACTGACAACAGCGACCGACTTTCCCACGCGTAATGCCTTTGAATCTATCTCGATTTCCTCCTGAATACAAGTAGGTATATAGCAGATACAGGTCAGTGCATTTAATTCTTGAATCTCATAAAATATACAGATTGCAAGTAACTTGACGACAAAGATGAAACGAAGCACAGGGAAAACTAACTAGAAAATTAATCACAGAGAAGATTCTTCTAGTTATAATTTCAATCTAATTACAACTACACAAACACGATGACTGAGCTATATAACTGTATTGAAATGTTATTGAACACAAACACACACACATACACACATCTGAGCTACATAACTCCATTGATGATGCACAAACACTCGAAGTTACGTTTATAATGGCTTTGTGAAGAAAAATAATGGAGCTTAGAGTGGGGATTTAGCCGGAAAACATGGAAAGGATCCACCTTTAGAATTAAATTGTTAACTTGGGTGAGGTGATCACAAGTTAGGTAAACAATGGTTTTACTAATACACCAAAAAAACCTGTACAGCAAACTCAAGGCAGTAAACAAGTAAAATTAGCAGCACAGAATTCGAAAAAAAAAGAAAAAAAAAAAAAAAAAGGGTGAATAGAGAAGAGACTGACACCAACATAAGCGCCAGACAAGTATGAAACGTTGATCTCGACGGAGACACCTGTTGTAGGAGCACCCATCGTGTAAATAACAGCTGATCCTGCTATGTCAACCAGCGCCGCCGTGGCTCCGCCGTGCAACGTATTCCCAGTATTCTTCAGTGAATTCCAAAACAAGCAATCAATCAATCAATCAGTCCGATTGCAATATAATCGGGGAAAACATGAAATTGGAGAACAAACCAGGAGGCGAGGGGGCACGGTGAGGGAACAAACAACGCGGCCGCGTTCGATGCGGTCGATTTTGAGACCTTGCATCACAATTGGCTCAATGAATCTAGCTGGCATCGAATCCACCGTGAATTCATAGTCGCCGCCGTCTTTCTCCACGAACTTCTTCACTGATTCCAAATCCATTCTTCTTCTTTTTCTTCTTCCCCAATTTCAACTGTGTTTTGTGTACTGTACTGTGAACTCGGGATGAAAGAGGAAAACAGTTTTTGAAATTTATGTTCGATTTCAGTCCCTATTGTCCCATTTATTTCATTTTTACCCTTGCATCTTTCTATGTTTACACATCTAGTCCAATTGTTTTTTTTTTCTTTTCCCTTACCTGTTATGAGTTGTGAAGTTCAGCAAGTTGTAAAACCTATAATTAATCTATCAAGAGTTAATATAACAGCTTCACTCTCAAGATCACACACAACACACAGTTGCAGATAACAAATAAAGAAGAAGAAACAGAAAATTTTACGAGGTTCGGATCTCGGTGTGAGAGCTACATTCTCGGGAGCAGTACAAGCTCCAATTCACTATATGTTGGGATCAATATAGATACAATCACAGAGATTATAATCTCTGCTGTAAACAAGCTCGAGGTCTACCAGAAACCCTAAACCCCTCACACAAGTGTTTTTCTCTGCACTTAGTGTATCCCCAGATTGATGCCCTCACTTCTTGAGACTTCCTTGCTATATATAGAGAACTTTCTCTCCAAGCAATACACGAGAGCCATCCACTCCTTCCACCAATCAAATCAGCTCAAGTATAACAACCCACATGGCTGACTAGGATGGCTGAGTAGGCAACTCAAAACTCACGTGCTTCTCACGTGATGCAACTATAGTGAATATAGTGTGTAATCCAGATATTAGAACCATACATTAATAAATCTCCACCTTGATTATAATATCATCACACTACGCGTACTGCTCTTCCATGTTCCTCAAGAACATGCAGCCAGGAGTTCCCTCTTGTCCTTCCTCACTTCTGCCAAGTCTTAACTTGTACAAGCTCCAAACAATGTTGGAACTTCGTGGATGGTAAAGGTTTAGTTAGAGAGTCAGCTGGATTTTCTTCAGTAGCCACTTTCACAGCTTTAATCTTCCCTGCTTCAATGACCTTTCTCGATGAAGTGTAGCTTTATGTTTATATGTTTTGTTCTCTCACGAAACATGGGATTTCTCATGAGAAACAAAGCACTTTGGCTATCACAATGCAATGTGATTTCTTCTACCTTCTCAAAAAGTTCTTCAAAGAAACCTCTCAACCATAAACCTTCCTTCACTGCCTCAGTTGCAGCAATATATTATGCTTCTGTAGTAGAAAGTGCAACTACTTTATGAAGTAATGACTTCCAACTTATAGCTCCTCCATAAGACGAATATATGTATCCTGACAAAGATTTCCTTGTGTCCAAACACCCTGCAATCTGCATAGTCAGAGTCAACATAGAATACTTCAGTAGGCTTTTCAAAGCATTCCAATGCTCTTTTCTTGGTTCAACCATAAACCTACATAGGATGCTTAAAGCATATGCCAAATCAGGCCTGGTAGAAACCATACAATACATGATACTGCCTACAATGTTTGCATAGGGAATTTCCTTCATGTATTCTTCTTCTGCAACATAATTAGGCCTTTGATTTATGCTCAACTTGTAGTGATGTGCTAAAGGTGTTAACACATGCTTTGCATCAGCCATTCCATACTTGGTCAATACCTTCTCCAAGTAACCTCTCTGAGATAAGAATATCTGATTCTCATTTCTATTCTTCAGATTGTCAATACTAAGAATTCTATTAGCATTTCCCATATCTTTCATTTCAAATTCTCCCTTTAATTTGGCTTTTGGACTTCTAATTTCACTTGGCTTTTTGTCAATGATCAGCATATCATCTATATATAGAAGCAACAAAATCTGATCATCACCCATTTTTCCATTGTGATACATACGGTAGTCATAGCTGCTTTTCTCAAACTGAATGGAGTGCATAAACAAATCAAATCTCTTGTACCATTGCCTTGGTGAATGTTTCAGACTATATAGAGACTTTTTCAATAAACAAACCATGTCTTCACTTCCACTATGAAAACCTTCAGGCTGCCTCATATATATAGTCTCTTCTATCTCTCTATGTAGAAAAGTTGTCGTCACATCCATTCGCTCAAGTTGAAGATCAAATTGAGGAACTAGAGATAATGCAATTCTTATAGAAGTCTGTTTACCAACTGGTGAGAATATTTCATTGAAATCTATGCCCTCTATCTGAGTAAAGCCCTTTGCAACAAGCCTTGCTTTAAATCTTGGCTTTTCAACTCCTGGTATACCAGTCTTCAACTTGTAAATCCACTTACAACTAACTAACTTCTGGTCTTTTGGCTTACTAACCAGAGTCCAGGTAAAATTCTTCTTTAAAGACTGCATCTCAGCTTCCATAGCTTTCAGCCACAGGTTCTTTTGATCACATTCAATGGCTTTTTTAAAAGATGGTGGTTCACTTCCACGGTTTCCATTTGCTACAGACAGAGCATAGGCAATAATATCAGCATATCCCAGTCTCTTAGGTGCTCTTATGTCCCTTTTGGTTCTATCTCTGGCCAGTTGATAGTCTTGAAGATCTGTAGTGTCTTCTACTTCTCTCCCATCAGTTAACTCTTCAGAAACTTTTTCTAAGTTGGTAGGATTTGCTGAATCATCATCCACAGATCTTATTACATCATCTTCAAGCTCCACCTCAAACTGAGTTTTATTCTGACAAGATTCACCAGAAGACAACTCCATATTAATAAATGGCATCACTTCTTCATTGAATGTGACATCCCTGCTAACTATGCACTTTTGTTTCCCAGGTTCAATACACCACAATTTGTAACCCTTTACTCCTTTTGGATATCCCAAAAAAATGCACTTCAATGCTCTAGCTTCTAGTTTGTCCTGTCTTAAGTGTGCATATGCAGCACAACCAAACACTTTCAGATGGTCATAGGATGGTGGTTTTCCATCCCACATTTCCTGAGGTGTCTTGAAATTCAGAGCTGAGGATGGACTCCTGTTAATAATATGGCATGCAGTTTTCACAGCCTCTCCTCAAAATTTCTTAGTGTAGCCAGAACTGAGTAGCATACATCTCACCTTCTCAAGAATGGTTGTTGTGGAGTTCCTCTTACAGTTCTATGTCTTTTGATTCAACAATCATCACATAATTTGTTAAAAACTGCGGACACAAACTCCATTCCATTATCAGTCCTTAAGTGTTTTATTTTCATCCCTGACTGTGTCTCCACCTTCTGTTTCCAAGCTTTGAACACTGGAAGTGCTTTATCTTTTTTTTTTTAAGATATGAACCCACAGCTTTCTTGACCTATCATCAATTAGAGTCAAAAAATATCTGCAGCCTCCCATGGTCTCAGTTCTTGCAGGGCCCCACATGTCTGAGTGTATATAACTCAGATTCTCATGAGTTGAGTGTTGAGTTTTGCCAAACTTTACTCTCTTGGCTTTTCAAAGAATGCAGTTCTCACAGAACTTCAGTTCTTCAATGTCATTAGCTTCAAGGAGCTTCTGTTTGACTAGTTCTTGACGTCCCATTTCACTCATGTGTGCTAACCTTCTATGCCATAATGAAGTCTTGTCTTTCACTACAACATTAGCTGTATCAACAGTTGTGGTTCCATCTAATATGTAAATTTCATTTCTCAGTTAGCCTTTCATGACCGCCAGAGCACCCTTTAATATTCTCATAACTCCATTTTTGGCTCTCAGTTCATACCCTGCTTGATCAAGCATACCAATGGAGATGAGGATTCTCTTAAGCGTAGATACATATCTCATACCATTTACTAGTTTCTTCTGTCCATAGGCTAGTTTCAAGTTTACAGCTCCAATCCCAAGAATTTTGCAGGCTTTATCATCTCCCAAAAGCACCATTCCTTTCTCAGATTCCTTGAGCTCCTGAAACCACTCTTTATTGGAAGTCATATGGAATGAACAACCAGAATCCAACACCCATTCTCCATTTGAGTTGAAATGTGATGCAACAAGTGCTTCAGGTGAATCAGAGTATGAGGCAAACAATACCTCAGCAAAGTCATATCCATCTGATACAATGGATGCATCTCATTTGTCACCTTGGTTGATTCACTCTTATTCTTCTGAGTCATGAATCTCCTAATATGTCCTTCTTTCTTGCACTTATGGCATCTTCTGGTATCCTTCCCATGTGGTCTTGATTTAGATCTCGACTTTCCTCTTTGCTTTTTAAACTCTTTTTTGTCAGGCCTTCCTCTTACATTAAGTCCTTCACCACTTCCATTTGAGCTGGATTCATTCCTCTTTTAAAGCTCCTTTGAATTTAATACAAAATTGACTTCTGTCATTGTTAGAGTATCATTTACATAGAGCATAGTGTCTACTATATGCTTACAATCCATTGGAAGTGAACTTAATAGGATAATAGCCTGATCCTCCTCTTGAATTTTGACTCTAACAGCATGTCGGTTTAGTATCGGTTTAGTATAATCCTATTATACTCATCTAAATGCTTCATAATCTACTGGCCTTCCTCCATCTGAAGAGTGTAGAGTTTCTTCTTTAGGTACAAGTGTTAGCAAGGGATTTCTTCATGTCTATAGACTCAAGTTTTTCCCCGATTGCAAGAGCTGATGTTTCTTCAGAAACTTCACGACGTACTTCATCACCTAGACTCAATATCAGTGCACTGTGTGCCTTAGATTGTATTTCTGGCACTGCTTTCTTATCTTCTAATGCAGCTAGTAATTTTGCATCTAGAGCAGCAGAGAGACCTTGATGAACCAATAAGGCCTTCATCTTAATTCTCCAGTGAGTAAAATCATTATCACCGTTGAATTTCTCAAATTCAAACTTAGAATTACTTATCTTTGATAGATCTAAGTCAGATGTGTACCTCTTCAAATTTCAACTGTAGATCTGGATGTTGTGTTGATAGAATCAACCAGCTCCACCTCGTTCCACGCTCACCGCACCACTTGTTATGAGTTGTGAAGTTCAACAAGTTGTAAAACCTATAATTAATCTATCAAGAGTTAATATAGCAGTTTCACTCTCAAGATCACACACAACACACATTTGCAGATAACAAATAAAGAAGAAGAAACAAAAAAATTTACGAGGTTCGAATTTCGGTGTGAGAGCTACATTCTCGGGAGCATTACAAGCTCCAATTCACTATATGTTGGGATCAATACAGATACAATCACAGAGATTATAATCTCAGCTGTGAACAAGCTCGAGGTCTACCAGAAACCCCTCACACAAGTGTTTTTCTCTGCACTTAGTGTATCCCCAGATTGATGACCTCACTCCTTGAGACTTCCTTGCTATATATAGAGAACTTTCTCTCCAAGCAATGCACGAGAGCCATCCACTCCTTCCACCAATCAAATCAGCTCAAGTGTAACAACCCACATGGCTGACAAGGATGGCTGAGTAGACAACTTAAAACTCGCGTGCTTCTCACATGATGCAACTATAGTGAATATAGTGTGTAATCCAGATATTAGAACCATACATTAGTATTACTTTTTCTTTTCTTGTTGTTCTTAGCAGTCCAACTGTAAGATTGATTAGGTGGTGTTTCAATATAATGCATAGACCATCATCATCATCATCATCATCATCATCATCATGATGTAAGAATAATATAATTAAAAATAAGATTAGTCTTTTTGAAGGCTGAGTAAGAAGAAAAATATAGTTAAATATAAAAATCAACAGTGGGTACAGAAGAGTTGCAAAATCCCAATAGGAACTTGGCACATTTGGACTAAGAGAGCCTAAAACCAAAGTAGAAACATTTCCAGACCAATCTTATAATAATTTGCAAGCACAAGTAATTATTTAGACATATATATACTACTTGGTACTAGCTAGGTGGTAATAAGAAACTCCATTTGTAATATTATTTTAATTTGCAGCAGCAGCAACTCCATTTTCTTTTACCCCATTCTCCTCTGTAGCATTTTCTTTTACTCCATTCTCTGTTTTCTCCTTCTTTTCTTCTTCTTCTTCTTCTTTAGCTTGTTTCTTTAGCTTGTTTTCTTCGTCTTCTTTCTCTTTGGCCAATTTCTCCTTCTCTTCTTCCTCTGCTTTGATCCTTGCTTCTTCTTTCGCTTCTTCAAGAGCTTTGATCAATCTAATCAGACACACTTCTCCATTCTCCGCCCCCAATTTCGGCATCAAATTCTCCGCCACATCTGCCGGTGACATATTCGTCTCCTCCAACAACCTCCTTATCTCACCGAACAATTCATGCGATTCAATCTCCAAATAATTCTTCGCCAATACCTTAAACGCCTCGTATCCACAATACGAAAGCTCCACACGCTTATCCATCCTCCCTCTTCTAATCAATGCAGGATCCAGCTTCTCCACATAGTTTGTCGTAAACACAATGATTCTCTCTCCACCGCAAGCCGACCACAGCCCGTCTATGAAGTTCAGTAGCCCCGATAGCGTCACCTGGCTCGTCTTGCTCTCCTCCATCTTCTTCTTCACCTCTTTAGCTGCATCCTTTTCTGCGTCTTTCTTCTCGTCTTCCTTATCCTTCTTTTTGCTCTCCCTCTGCCCTGTGAGATCCAACGAGCAATCTATATCCTCGATCACCACGATTGATTTCCCTGTTGTGTCGATTAGCAGCTTCCGCAACTCTGTGTTGTCCTTAACCGAGGTTAGCTCGAGATCGTACACATCGTACTTCAAGAGATTAGCCATGGCGGCGATCATGGTCGATTTTCCGGTACCCGGTGGGCCGTAGAGGAGGTAGCCACGCTTCCACGCTTTGCCGACCTTTGCGTAGTAGTCCTTCGACTGTGTGAAATGGATGAGGTCGTCTATGATTTCTTGCTTTTTAGTGGGCTCCATGGCTAGGGTATCGAAGGTGGCAGGGTGGTCGAACATGACGTGGGTCCAGAGGTTGCGGCGGTAGCTGTAGCCTTCGTTCTTGTTGTTGGTGTAGAGTTTACGGCGGCGTTCATTGATGGTGATGGCTTTACCTTCATTGAGGACATGTGTCAAATACCTGGTGGTGATGGCTTCGCGGTGGCGGCGGTGGAAGGTTAGGGTGAAGAACTTCTTCTCGTCTTCTCTGGGGTAGAAGGAAATGGACTGCTGGGTGCGGGTGGACTTGTTGGAGGACCACCAGAGCTTGACGCCGGAGAATTCGTCGGTGACCTCTTCGTAATTGGCCATGGTGAGGACGATGGCTTCGCTGTCGCGGAGGACGTTGGCCTGGAGGCGTTTGGCCTGCTTGGTGGAGTTGGCGTTCAGGTAGCGCTCGATGGAGGCGTAGGCTTTGCTCCGCTGGAAATCGTCGCCGTGGTACTCGGAGAAGCTGATATGGATGTATGGGTAGATGAAAGACATGGCTTTTTCGGCGTAACGTTTGATGGGCCGCCGGAGTTCGTACGGAAAGTAGTTCTGGAACATCGCGTAAGCAACCATTATGCCGGCGACTGCCGACCCCATTTGGGTCATCAGTTCCGCCATGGAAGCCATCATCATCGTCCTCTCAAGTTAATTAAAGACTGGTTTTTTTTTTTTTTTTCTCTTAATAATAATGTTTGAATGAAATGAAATTTGTGCGTCTATATATACAGGAGTGAATAAATTTAATTAAAAAAGAAAAGAAAAAAAGAGGTGAATTATTTGAGGAATAAACAGTTGACCAGTCAACGAAAAGAAATAAAGTTTGTGTGCATGCCAGAAAGAGAAAGGTGTGTCTATATATGTGAATGAAGTGATAAATTAGTGTGTGTGTCACGCTGTCACGCAGTGTATCTTTTTATTGGGGTGAAAGTGAAATATTTGTTGACCATTTATACATAGGTGTGAAAATAATATATTTTCTAGTGACCATATTAATTCTTAGGGAATTGCTTTTTGCGGTTTGAAAATTGCTATTTGCGGTTTCTAACAAAACCCCTCAAAAAAATACTTTATTTCACTAAAACCTCAAAATTTTCCAAAAAAATCCAAAAACCCCCCAAAAAACGCGTAAAAGCCCAACTTGGGCGCCCATTCATGCAGTGCACGCCCAAGTTGGGCGTGCAAGCTGCATTTGGGCGCCCGAGTTGGGCGTCCAGTGCAAAAAAAAAAAATTTTTTTTTTTTTTTAATGTTCGAACGCCCAAGG